TCGGCTGGAAAAACATTGTAATTAATTTCCACATGAAAATTCACGTAAGTTTTTTACCCCCTCAAACACGCCGTGTTTTCGTCGTCGAAAAAACCCCCCGAGGGCCATCGTAACGCCCAACATCGACGCTCCCCCTCCCCGATCTAACACGCAAAACTGACCATGGTCGCGCTGGTTTTCCGGAATTTTTTACACGACCTTTTGCTTGTAACGAGTCGACTTTTCCAATAAACCGCAATCATAGCACGACTAACCAACGCAAATACTGTGCGAGTGTAAATATAAACCAAATAAAACATTTCTAATGGCAGTGGCGGCTCGTCAGACCGCCCCGGAAGAGCAAGTGCCAAATGTAGATCCGGTGGGTGGTCCGACATTTGTTTTTAAATCTGACATATAATTAAAATGGTGGCAAATAGTGACCAATAACTTTTTTATACACTCTCATGCGTCATAATGAATAATGCATGTTTTTGTTTTATGGCAAGCATTTGAATTGTGTTTGATAACGAAAGAATGTTTTTCTTTTTTATCATTTTTTATCAGAGATTAGTCACGTTATTTATATGAGATTTTTCATCTCATTTGCATTTCAGGCATACTGGATATCAATGAAAACTAAGTAGGAAACGATAACTTTTCGCAATTTTAATATTTTAAGGGTATTTTTCATATCTGGCAAAATAATGTGTTTATTAACAATCACTACAGTATAATATGCTGATTCCTAACTTTTTAGTGATCGCCAAATTCCATTTTTTGGTCGGGAGTGACTTATGTACAGATTTGTCAACAAGAAATTATCATCTAGGATTTGAACTTTTAGGAAAATTACGTTTTTTATGTTGTTTGGAAAAGAAGTAATTTTGAATGCTTAGGATTGGTTACTCCTTGTAGTTGACAGTTGACGTTTTTTGTTAACCTGCTGTCAACTATCAATTGAATTATCCATACAAGCTGACAGATGACATAACATAAATTTTGACACTGGTTACGATATCTTTTGTTTGTCACCAAAAACCAACCTAACCAAATTTATGGCAACCAATTCACGAATATCCCTAAATCCTACGGAGTAGTTTCTTGTTGATACGACAATAGGATTGCCAAGGTTACAGCCCCATCAAATGTCAAAAACGCAGCGCAATTTATTTGAAAAAACAGATATTTTATTATTTAAACAAAATGTGATTACGAATAAAATAGCGCTCTGTCTAATTTTGAGGCTGCACCGCAAGACATCTAACCTATTAGCCTAATAATATATTTCCTATCTAGGTTGTAATATACTATTTCTCTACGAAAGGTAAAAAATTATTTCAAACTGGTTTTTGTTAGCCAAACAAGATAATAAAGCTCTGAGAATTTATGTAAGTAAATAATAAAATTGTTACATATGTTTTTTAAATCTTAATTTAGAACCAACCTTTCTTATCAAAGGATGGATAAAGTTGCTCTATTATTGTAAATAACAAATTTTAAAACAATGTAGTTACCTACTTCAAGTTGAAATAAGAGTTCAATACGATATTGATTTAATGAAAAGTGATAAAAATATCTAGATCTAGATTCAGTACCAATAAATCAACAAAATTAATTTTGGAGATTGGAATACATTAGCTTTACATACAGGGTAGTACAAAACTCGCACTCCAGAGAAAAATGCCAAGTAAGATAAGATAGCAGGAACATGGAAAAAATGTTAAAATAAATTCTATCTACAAGAATTTCGAAATTATGATGTTGCATTTTAGCCCTATTGATTTCTGTTAGAAAAATGATTTTACATGTTTCTTTGCTGCAAACATATACAAGCAGATCATCGGTAGCAATGAATATACATAAAAAAGGTCAAATGTTAAAAAGTTAAATTAAATTTTTTTAACAGATAACATTTTTTTCATGTTCCCGGTACCTTATCTTACATAGCATTTTTGTCTGGAGGCTAATTCATGTAATAAGAATGCCCTCCAATGGAATATGAACTGACCACAGGTTTTACTACCACTGTCCTTGTCTTCTAAATACCCACATAATTTCGAACGGTTTAAAAAGATTCGGATTTTGTTATCTCCTTGTAGGTAACATCAAAATATGCGATTTAAATGGCAACAGATTAAAATCACATCATCTATTCAGAATTTTTTTATATGTATGGTTGTATTATAGACGAATTTCTCTTTCTTACGAAGTATTATAATTTATTTTAATTTACTCCGCCCACTCAAAAATGAAAAGCAGATACAATTTACATATTACAATTATTACGGAAATGTCATTAACCATTTACAAAAGCCAAACATTTTTTAAACGAAAAAAACGTGATAGAAATAAAAAATAAAACAGTATTTACACGCCCTAGGTGTGTCACAGATCACGAAGAAGCAAAATTGCATGATGACATGACACACAACGCAAGTAACCAATATGTATAACACAATTTTGTGTTAAATTTTTCCTTTTGGAGAAAAATGACATCCGTATGTATAAATGGAACAGGTTTAAGAATATTATGTCGAAATAGAAAAATATGTCAGTACTCATAAACTCATATATGAAACGCAAAACAATTTTTTTTCTTACTGCAACTAAGGTTTTGTTTATTTGATTTCGTTCATGATTATATACTGCAGAAGTGCACAATATTGTTTTGCTTCCAATATAGATATTGCATAAAACAGAAACCGTTGCCCAAACAAACAATTTTTTGCTAATATACACACATAGGTACACATGGCCAATATCCTAACATTTTTCAGCTTTTGACAGTTATTGTCCGGATAGGTCGTTCCATTAGCAATCTTCATGAATAAACAATTGATTTGGCTGATCCAAGTTGCTCGTTTGTCCAGAACTAGGTTGCAAACACTTTATTTTTTATTTATAAATCATAAATATTAAATGTGTTTCAAATTTAAAGCTTACAAAATTATCAAAGAATTGTTAAAACAAGAACACTTTATTTACATGTAAAAACCTTTTAAATGCAACACTATTCTGAAACGTGATTCAAAGTGATTTTCATCCAGTCGCCTAAGGAGAATTTCTTTCCATGTAAATTTTTCTGTGCCGCTTTACACTTTTTGAAACAGATAGTTTTGACAACACTGACAGCTGTCAATAGAAATAAATCAAAATTTGAAGTTATTTAGAATTAATATTATTTAAAACGGCATTTTTTATTTTACATGGAAAATCCATATAAACGACCAGATGAAAATCATTTTGAAACACCTTGTATCATTAATATTATTAAAAATAATGTGATATGTCATTAGGTTAAATTTGTGCATTAAGATGAAATTAAAGTCTGTTTTTTCTTTAAATGGAAATTACCAAGTCAAAATTTTGGTGAAAAAATTGGTAGCAACTTGTCTCCATAGCCATAAATTTTGTTTGATCTTTGTTTTTGTCCCTAGAAATATTGTAAAAAAAATATGGTTATGTTTTCAAATTGAGATGTTGGCAAAATTTTGATTTTTATGAATCTTCTGTGCCTGTTTGCTCTTTGAAAGCGCTATAATTGAATACCTAAGGACAGACATCATTACCTAAGGTCTAAAGACAGAATTCAGTGCTAATAATTTTGATACAAACACACCGCAAGTAAGTACAATGTTGTGGACAAAAATAAGGTTCTTGCTACAAAACCTTTGAAGAAAAAAGATGTATATACAGGCTGTTTCACACAACTTTACGCGGCTTGCGCCTAATGTACGCACCCAAATATACAAAAGTCACAAAACACTGGATACAAAAAATACAATTCTAACTATTTTATTTTTGGAAACCCATGACAGTAGTTGTCAAACTAATCACTGTTTCATTAATAGTCATAAACTGCAATTTTTCAGAAACAATTATCATTTGTGTTCTATCAAGAGACGGCATGAATATGATTCTAGTTTATCTATCTTAATCACTAACTAACTAAAAACGTTGTAATTTTTTAAAGGGTGAACAAACTAGAGAAGATTATTCGATTTCTCAAAATTTGTAATCGAGTTCGTATCGGAATATGTATTATTGATTGCATCTTACAGGCGCAGGCCTCGTAAAATTACGTGAAACACCCTGTACAGAAAAAAGTTATTTAACAAAAGATACAAGTAGGTATTATGCTGATTGGCAATAAATTTTGTGTAATTTATTGAAATCAACTCAATATAGTTGGTACCAACAATATTTGAGACTCATTATAGAATAAGACGACCTATGTCCTATAAACCGTTTTCTACGCAATCAGGCTACTTAAATTCTTATGTGACATGACTGACATGAGTATTATCAGTTATTACAAATCTCCTTGTAAAATAAAACAAATCTTGTTGCTATTAAATAAATAATAAATTAGGTACAGATTGAAATAGGAGTAATGTATCATAAAAAAGTTGAAAAATCCAATGGTTCTTTTACATTTTGTTCCATTGCTGTTTATTCCTGAAGTTTTAAGTCTGATTTTTCACAACCAAATACATATTATGTGTGCCATTTGCTCGATTTCGTCATGCCCGTTTGAAATTACAATTTAAAGTAAAAATTACAAAATAATTGTCTAAAATTTATAATTTTATACTTATTGTAACACCAAATTCAGTTGAAAATTGTGTATACATATATCCTGTTGCTTCAAGAATAAAATTTCCAAATTCCTTCCACTGCTTGCTTGAATAATTTTTTCGTATGTTAAACTTTGATGAATGTAGAAAAAATGAATAGTTTGAGTGACTATCAAAAAATCGTGTTTCCACAACGTGTCTACCAAAAAGAAATGTTCTATTTTTTATTCGTTAAGAAAAATCCGTAATTTTAAACATTAAAATCGCTTGTTTTTAACTGCTAATATTACACAACAAAAACGACTACAGCCTTATCAACATTACTGCTATTAACTCAGACTAGCTGTTATAATATTCGTAATTGAGTTTTAATTATCACTAATCAAAAATCTAGTGACAATGATAAAGCAAACAGAACTGTTTTTACTTTTTTATAACGACAAATAAGGTGACTAATATAAAGATCAAATATTGATGGAGTGACATGGTTTTTGTACGTCTTAACGACTACAAATCGGTAAAATGTTTAAATCTCGGATTTCTTGTTCCAAGGTCCCGGAAGCCCCGTAATCGTGCCGCCCATGCCGACCGCAACGGTGTTAAATAACATGCATTGAGGTAAAGAAACGTAATTGGCAGAAAATGCGCGTTAACGAGTAATTGACACATGACGGAGTTCCAATCGTGGGACGTCACAGGGCCTCCTGTTACGCGAAAACACGATCCGAGTTAGCGCCTGTCCCAATAACATAAACATTCGATCTATTTAGGAGAGATTCCTTTTCTAAAAATAGTCGACTGTGTATACTTATGCCAAACCACATTAAACAGAAGAAAAACGAGCCACGCACACTGGGATGTCTTACCTCCGCATGATTCTCGTTGAAGTTGTTTTGCCCCTTGCCGGATGATTCGATGTTCATGATCCTTGCGTCCTGCAACATCGACAAACTTGATTGTTGCGCCGAGGAGACACTAACCTAATTGTCGACAATTTGCTGCGGTGGACAACACCGGATACAGACCATGTCGATGGGACGGTTTGCCGTTGACGACGTTTCGACGACGACGGTTCGCGATCAAGACACTAAATTAAGAAAACATTCACAGCCACGGCGTCAGACTTTTCATCACGTTTACCGACACTCAAGGCGCCGTCAGTTTCTAACGTTCACGTTTCGGTCAAATGACTAGTAAGTGGACACTCTGCTGACTTTCTGATCGACGAAGAAAACCAAACAACAGCTAAAAAGTCATTAAAATTAAAGGAAATGCACTAGGGTTAAAAGACACACGGAGGACTGCATCAACGACAACGACACCCACGACATCTACTGGCTACGAACGATTACCGAATGCCGACGATCGGGCTGCTCATTGGACACGGAAGGTCACGTGGGCCGAGTTTAAGTCATCTTCAATCGAATAAATTTTAATTGTTCCAATTTCATTTTTTAAACAGTATTATCTATTACTTTTTTACAATTACAAGGTTCGGATAGAAAACATGACAAAAATCATACCAATGATAATGTTAAACTGTAAATTTACAAGTTTAAAAATAGCATGGGCGTCGCGCAGTAAGGGCTGCAAGGGACTAAGTGTCCTTGAAATCTATTGCACTGATGCCAAATGGTAATCTTACAAAAAATATCTTTTGGCGTTTTTCAAATTTATTAACTTTACTTGTTTATTTTTGCACGGTTACGGTCGTTATGGCAATCAGATAAACAAGCTACCTACCTAAGTCTGACACTTCTGCCTGACAAAATTGAAAATGTCCAAACCGACCACAATAAAAGAAGCGATAAAAAAATGGGAAGAAAAACATCCTGGAAAAAATATTGCTGATGCTGAAGAAGTTGGGTTTCAGTTCCAGTGGCCACCGATTGAAAAAATGGACAATTCATTATCTGCCCTCACAAAATGCAGGTATCAAAATTTGATAAATTTTAAATTTGTGTTAAGTGTTTAATCACAGAAAATTAAGTTTATCAACCAACATGATTGAGAAAATTGCTGGAATCAGTTCATTGAAAAATTTACGGATTTTATCACTTGGTAGAAATTACATAAAGTCGTTTGCAGGGCTGGTAAAAATATTTTTTTCTGTTACTAATAGTGGTTGTAAGACTAATTCTCATTTATTTCAGGAAGGTGTAGGGGATACTTTGGAAGAACTGTGGATTTCTTATAATTTTATTGAAAAAATGAAAGGAGTACATGTTTTAAAAAAACTGAAGGTTTTATACATGAGTAATAATATGGTCAAGGAATGGAGTGAGTTTATGAAATTGCAAGAACTGCCAAGTTTGGAAGACTTGCTTTTTGTTGGTAAATAACTAAATAAAAAATACAAATAATTTTCTCTGAAAATGCATCATTAATGTAGGAAATCCACTATATGAAAGTATGGAAGAGTCAATATGGAAACTTGAAGCAATCAAACGGCTACCAAATTTGAAAAAACTTGACGGAGAACCTGTAGTAAGGGATGAAGGAGATTAATTTATATAAATCGTATTTTATTATTTAAAAATATACATACATAAGATAAACTATTTACATCCTAATCACTTGTATAATTTTCCGTTTTCATGTCATTTAAACCTAACTCTTCATTTTGCTCAAACGTTCTTTCATATTTCGTTATTTTTAGCCCCTTATTCTCATCATCCAGGCTCTATAGGGAACAATTGATTATAAAATTTAAGTCAGAACAATAATATTTACCTGTATATAGCTGTTTCCCGCTGGGTCATCCAAAACTACCGTAATTTTAAACTTCCCATCCAAAACTTCCTGAAGGCGTTTGAAAAATTCCTCCAAGCGTCCTTTAGATTCCGCCGTCTGTGAATCCCCAAACATATGCGAGAAATTAGGATTATCCAACTGTTCTTTGATGGCTACTAGCAATCCCTCAACTGTTGTAAATCTTCCTCCTAAAGCATGGGGACCCACTTCTAACTCTAACTCAGGAATTTGTAAGCTGCATGTTTCAGATTTTAAAACATCGCGGGAGAAGTCTTCTCGGCCGTTAACAAGCACTTCAATGTGGACTCCAAAGGGTTCAATCCCACCTCCTGATTTTACTTCATTAGTTCTATGGCCACAAGTATCACAACTTGTTGCCATTATTACTACTTCTTTAAAATGCGGAATTTTAGTCATTTTCATATTAGTCTGACAAGGGGAATTGCAATTGGAGCAATTTGTGGGAAACTGCAAAACTTCACCTTCAAGATCTTCAAGAGTAAATTCGTTTTCAGGGATGCGGTGTAGAATTCCACTGCTGTTTTCGTTACCAACTTCAGCAGGAGTAAAAATACCCAGTTCATGGTCTTGTTCTTTAGTTCGTTTGAAAAAGTGGGTGGTGCAGTTGCGGTCTTTCTTAGGTGCTTGAGGGTTTTCTATAAAGCTGTTGCCAGAAATGTCTTCTAAAATCTAAGTAAATTATTCTTGAAAATCTAGTCAAAATATAAATATGGGAAATCGTACTAATGTAAATGGAGAATTTAAATCTTTAAGTTTTTCTAGTTTTTGAATAAATTCATCAATTTGGGCGGCCGTTTCAGGATGCTGAATCCTTCTAGCAACTTGGTCTTGTTGCAACCCCGCTATGCTTCGATTAATAACTCCCTCAACGGTCGTTACTTCTGTGGAAACGTAGAATGCTTACAAAAGAAAAAAATCTTAGATAATGCTTACCTCCTTTCTGACTTTTTGGAGGTATCTCAAAGTCAAGTTCAACAATTTTAATACTAGTATAATCACTTTTCACTAATTGCCTATTTAAATCAGCTTGTGTTTCCACACGTAAATTAATTTTAACTCCTTCAGGGCTAATAGCAGCACCCGATTGGATTTCGTTGTTCTCAAATCCACACTGTTCACATGAGAATGACATTAAAACCACCTCTTTGTAAAACGGAATTTTCGTTAACAGAAGTCTTGTTATGCCCTAAAACACATTTTGATTTTAAAGTGAAATCACAAAAAAGTGAGAACTTACATTAGCATGACAGTTTACACATAAAGATTCTATTTCCGTTGCTTCTGGTTCAGGATCTTCTGCGTTCAAATCTCGGAAAATTGGCTTTGAGGCTCCCATTTTCGTAAAATAAGAAAACAAGAACTGAAAATGTTTGAGGTTATAAAACTTGTCAGACATGTGCGCCGACAATTTTGCGACGTCATTTTAATATAAATCGGGGTAAAAGCGAGAAGTACACACCTTGGCGCATATGCGTAGATGACCAAAACGCGTCTCGGACAAGTCCACTTTAAAAAAGAAGAAAACTTTTTGGAAGCAGTGGCGAGTAGATTCGTTTTATTATCGCAATATTTTAGACAGGACGCTACTGTTCCTTGTCAGACCCCGCCCAGGCGTGTACTTCTACCTCGTACCTTACTATACTAAACTTTTATTTCCCACAAAAGTTTTACTGGTTGCCTACATGAACGCACAAAAGGTCCTAAAATCATTTAAAATCTCTAATAATCTACAAATTATTAATTAACTTTGCCACTTGAAGAGTTGGTTTGAAATAATAGCTTGTGTCTTACCTGTAAAAAATGGAACTTTAAGTTAAAAATGGTGTTTTAATATTTTTAAATCTTATGAATTAGGTATTATTCATTCATCAATGCTTAAGTAATTATTTTAATACTTTGATACCTACACTATCAAGTAAAATGATTAAAATGTTATCAAGTAAGTAAAGTACATAGAATGATTTATATTTACCTACATTGAATTTTAAGACTGAGTACAATTTACATTGTCTGAAGATCAATGTAATCTTTTGCGTTCGGGTTTTGCTATTAATCACTATAGTTGCGATTTGAAATTACATATTACTTTAAATTTGTAATTAATTTTTAACTTTTAGATTATCTAGAATTTATATAAAAACATGCCCAAGTATTTAAATAAAAATTTGTACAATATCTTTCCATGTAGTACCTAGAAAAACATTACATGAAAACCGCTTCAAAGATTGTATTTTAACTGTACTACTTGCAAATGCATTACTTCATAACAGAGTACAGTTGGAGACAAAATACTTTGGTCGTCAATGTCACTTGAGTGACATTAAATTGTAAAGCATGCTTTAGGACCGTTAACCTTATTTTTAGCTATTGTCAATCATAGTTGACAAGTTGTATGTATATATTTTTGATAGGAAAATATAATAGCTGTCATTAATTTGAAATTGTCTTCATTTTAACGTTAAAGCTTGAATTACATTAAAGTGTCAGAAAAGTGACGACCAAAGTATTTTGTCTTCAACTGTAGGTTTCCAGATTATTTTCAAAATAATTTCTAGAACTAATTTTATCATGCTATTGGTGTCATTTTTATTGTTAACCTGCAATGTCTGGTTTTTATGCTTTTTTAAAGATTTGTTTTACTTATAAGTTAAAAAACGCATAATTTTTTATCCAACATCTCTTATTAATAATTGAACAATAATTATGGCAATTTTGAATGAATACAAGAGGTATATGGCATAAATTACGAGTGAGATAAAGGAAGTAGGTATAACACTCATAACACACACTGGTAAATTATTTTTTACTTCACTGATATTTAAAAAAGACAATATCAACCACATGTACGAGCTTGAATGTGTTTCCTAGCACAGAAGATTTTATCCACACAGGTAGGTACTAAGATACCATTGCTTTGCACAAATTTTTGATAATAAATAGATAATAAAATGAACAAGACAATTATAACGACTAGTTTGTTCACCCTTTCAAAAATTACGTTTTTAGTTAGTTAGTGATTAAGATAGATAAACTAGGTACAATCGCATATTCATGCCGTCTCTTGAGAGAACAAATGATAATTGTTTCTGAAAAACTGCAGTTTATGACTATTAATGAAACAGTGATTAGTTTGACAATTATTGTCATGGGTTTTCAAAAATTAAATAATTAAATGTGTGTTTTTTGTATCCAGTGTTCTGTGATTTTTGTATATTTGGGTGCGTACATTAGGCGTTGATTCAGTTATTAGTATCTTAAAGTACAAGTTGCAGCAAAAATTTGAAATTCCGAAACGATCCGCGTAGCGGCGAGTTGAGGAACAAATGAGTGCTTGAGGAACCTTCTGCAACAAGTGCTTTATACTATTTTTTCTATTTTGCCGCTTTATATCATTTTATAAATTAAAAATCGAAAATTTTAATTTTTTTTCTAAAGAATTTTGCGACTGTTGGCGACATTTATGTGGAATAATTTTAGGCGGCTGTAAAAAATAAAAATAATTCTTATTTTCACATAATGAAAATGAATTGAGAAGAAAGTCCATCACTAAAATTAAATTAACGCCAACGACTTATTCCATCACTCAAATGACGTCATTTGGGTGCTGGAATAGTATATTAAAGTACAAGTTGCAGAAGGTATCTATTCAAGCACAAAATTGAAAGTCCGAAACGATCCGCGTAGCGGCGAGCTGAGGAACAAATGAGTGCTTGAAGAACCTTCTGCAACAAGTGCTTTATACTATTTTTTCTATTTCGCCGCTTTATATCATTTTATAAATTAAAAAACGAAAATTAAAATTTTTTTTTGTAGAGAATTTTGCGACAGTTGGCGACATTTATGTGTAGAATAATTTTAGGCGGCTGTAAAAAATAAAAATTATTCTTATATTCACATTTGAAAATGAATTGTGAAGAAAGTCCGTCACTAAAATTAAATTACCGCGAACGACTTATTCCAGCACGCAATTGACGTCATTTGGGTGCTGGAATAGACTTATTCTAACACCGAAATAGAAAATAGACTTATTCTAACACCGAAATAGAAAAAATGATTTTAAAAATTTGAAATCAAGAAATTGTTGCAATATGTTTAATGGGTTGCGGCAAAAAAAATCAGAAATAACCCTCTCGTGAATAACCTTGTATATTAGCTCTTATCCGTACATAATTTTATTCTAGAAATGAATAAAGGTCTATGCAACAAGTGAGATAGATTCATTAATATCGTACGCATGGGATATTCGTGTAATCCCATAAGTACCACGATAATTCGACAATAATGTATTATCCTGTGTATTAAATGGTAGGTTTTATCTGGTGCTTCGTAATTTATTACTATTGTATAAACGTTGTTTTTATCCTGTGATTTATAAAAGTAGTACCTAAGTGCTGCTTGGGTGAACACCGCGTTATTAATATATTAATTTAATTATATTTACTTTGAATTTTATTTATTTGAAAATAACGAATAAAAAAAGGGTCACATTTAATTTATATTTATTAATAATACTCTCATTGGTTCATCGATTATTTACAGGAATAAATTAATACAAACAACATCTCAACATATTGTAACTCACACGCATTCTTTAGTAAGCACACTTTATTTACAAAATACATTATTGCACAGCAATAAAGCTTTTATATGATAAAACAAATTCATCTAATAACATATGTACATAGTATTTGACTTATTGTACATATACACTTAATTGTAATTTATTACATAGTGGAAACAGTCTTTGGACAGATACGCCAAGCTTTTATTACTGTAGGAAAATTTTCGATTATCGATTTAAATAAATTTGACACTGACTTATCTGGGAGAGAACGCTTTTAATTAGTATTTGTAATTCGAACGCCTTTCCAAGCCTATGATGTAATGAAAGAACGGCGTAACTGAAGTGGGAACGTTTCATCAGATATTTATGTTTTTCTCTTTAATATCTCGTTTCCCTCACATCAAAAAGTAAATAGTTTACAATAAATCATACACAGTATGATTAGTTTTTCTAAATTTTAATTAACATTCATCCGTATTAAAAGTTACACATTTATTATGCCCGTGTATAAGTGTTTTGTTTCTACATTCGTTGGTCTAGAATTAATTCTGAATACTCATAAATTAATTAATGCTAGATCACGATTGTTCATTTTGTAGGCCTAGAGAATTATGGTCGGTCGTTCATTTGTCAAGTTTTATTCGTTGATAGTTTTCGGAAAAGTCCTATCTAAAAACAATTAGTTAAGCTCGAGAGTCTGTGATTGTTCCACTACCTAAACAGAATCATTTGCTAGAAACACTTGGCATCTACTCCTGTATCACAGGCGCTATATTAGTGCTACCGCCTCCAGATTAATTCCCTTGTTTAGTTACAAATGGAAGAATCATTATTTTGATTAGGAAAAATGACGAAAGTTTTTAACTGGAGGTGGCAACACTGATCAACTCAGTTCATTAAACACAACTTTCAGGTCCCGGAATGGCGTCTGCTATGATGTGGTCTCTCCTCATTGTGGCAAAGTTGGAATAGGAAATGTCTCGAGGGCGCGGACGGGGCCGGCCTAAAGTGCCCCCCGATTGGTTCACAGACACTTCTGGCGATGAGATCTGCTCTTCGTGGGACTGAAAAGTAACAGAACAAAGTTCTACCATAAATTCACTGAAGATACAATTATTTTATAGACACAAGCACAAAAAATTCACAGATCAACAATTTATTTTTTGCATGAAATAATAATACTCGTCATAGTTGTGTACTTACTTATAAGTTTCAAATAACAATCCATTCATTTTATAAAAAAAGACTGTTTTGTTTTGGAGTAATGAATTTTTTTATTACTCGATTATCTTACTGGTTTGTTATTCAATTTAGAAAAAAAAACAATGAGTGAAATTTTATATGTATTATGCTGAAATTCTGGTACATCACAAATTAATTTAACTTGTCTGATTCAATGTTATAGATCTGTTTCATACAACTTCTGTGTTTCGAATTAAAATAATAAAATAAAAAAACGAAAAAAACAACTTCGACCAATAAGCTTAAAAACATCTGTATCAAAAACTACATCCAAGAATGCAAAAATATAGTGTTTGATTTAAGAAACAAAATTATTTCTGGGACACGCGAAATACTTAAGAATAATTTCAGGTGATGCAGTGGGTTAGTTTCTATCAATAATCGCCTTTTTAAGACGCGTTGTATATAATAAACACTATATTTCTTCGTTAGAGCAACTGACAATAATCACGTAATCAAAAAATTTTGAATGGTCCATTACACCTTGTAATCATCAAAACGAATCGTTCTCTTTTATCACCGATGTGAATTAGGTCGATTCTTGCTGTAAACAGAGTCAAAAGTTGCCCCGCATCACATTTTAATTAATTGTGTTGTTATCGCAGTTCAGCGTAGAAAATGTGTTGAGGGTGGTGCGTCCCGGTTTTAATATTTATTGAAAATTTGCTACATCAGCACAGAAGAGCTCCGACAAGCGTTCACACTTACACACATGTAGTCTCACACGCGCTTGCACAGGAGTTATTTAATTAGAGGAACAGGTTGACGCGTTACTTACAAAGTTGGGGAATGTCGGGGGACTATGTTGCTGCCGATTCCGTTCTCCCGTTGAGGGGGTGAAAAGGGCATCAGGTCTCGGCAGCCCGGGTGGCGTTGTCGTGTCAGCACCTGTTAACGTTACACCTATCTTATTTCTATGGAATTTATTGCTTCCACTAAACACACGGCTAATATGTTACAGAACAGACAAGTTCGAGGCCGGGGATTATTACTTCTAGGTTTCGATTGGATGGCGAAGAGGAGAAATAAATAAAAATACATGGTTGGTACAGTATAAAGTTTTTATTAATACAGGGTACAAAAATAAATGGGTTTTTTAAAGTGCCTCCACTTGAATATATTAGGTCGTTTACAATAACTTATTGTGCTTTTTATGGATTGTCTAATTTTGAAAGAATTTTCTTAATAAAACTTTCCTACAGAAACTCGTTTCGCTGAAAAAACACCACGAATCCATTCAGTAAATCAATATTAAATGTGGAGCAAGATACTACAAGCGGTGCACGAGATGTCTAAGTGCCCTCTATTTTGTATTTACATATTTTGCCTTGAGCAACAGTTGTAGTTTTGCGGCACAACTTTCCCAACAGGGACAATTCGTTAAAAATCCTGCAACAATTTTTTCCAACTTCCAAAACTTTCGTAATTTACATTTTACGGCACAATCGTCAAACTCCCCAGAGATCCCATTCGTCACACGAGACCCAACTACTGCCCCATATTTACCAAACTACAAATTTACTTCTCTCAAGATGATCGACCGGTCGGGAAAGTTGCCAAAACCGCTACACACCAGCTAGATTTTACCGAAAGTGGTGAGCGGGTAATATTTCCGGGACTCACCTCTGGGGGTGTTGAGTATATCTGGTTGCCTATCTACGGACGAATTGGCGGTGGGCTGCGTGCCGCAGTCCGCTGCCGGTTTCAGGGTGTACGCTACCACGTAGCGATTATCTCCCGTGTTGATTTCCAACATTGATCCGGGCCTGGAGGACTGACCCGGAACTTTGGGCTGCTTTGAAGGATCCAGCTGATAGTTGCAATGGCCACCTCCGCAGTGCCGGTGCTTTCGTCTGACAGCCAGCACTACTATGAGCAACACAGCGATGCCCAGAGTCAAAAGAGACCCCGTCAAGAGAGCCGCAATGGGGAGGATGCTCATATTACTGCTCCCATCTGTTAAAAAATAAAAAACAAACAAAAAGTGTTACGTCCAAGTGTGTTCTTATAACTACATTTAATGTACGTACTCTTACAAGTTGAGACAGTAAAAGTATTTCAATAAGGTAAAAATAACTGCGTGGGAATTTACTCTCAAGTTGCACGTATGATTTATTTACGACCATCTCAATCAAGTTAAATTGTTTGTATCCTCGCTACGTCTTTAGGGAGGTTACGACATATACTTCCGAGTTCCCACTCTAAATACGGGAGGGGAATAAAGCCTTTGAATTAAGTGTTAAATGAATAGAAAATGACTTAGGGAGAAAGTATAAATTCAATCTCACTTGTGTGTCATGCATAATTATTTAATATTTAATAGTTTAATTATTTAATAGTTAACTTAACTAACCAAAATAAGAGAGTGAACTTTATGTCAAATATTGCTTTTATTAATTTATAGTTTTCGGCTATATTAGTACCTTGAAATTAATTCCCCACTAATTACAAATTCATTCGCTTCAATTAAGTTTAGTTCAATATAATTCATTTTAATGCAAATGTGTTGAAAAATTTTGAAAATTCTGTTCAATTTATGTTTATATGCGTTAGACGGTTACAGTAATTTGAAATAATCATTTTCTTATTTGATCAGTTAAATTTTACAATATTTGTCATGCATTAATACAATTGCGGACAAGAAATTTTGAACGATTTGTCATTCGACTGACATAAATATGTAAAACGGGCTTTATACAACTAATCCCAATTTCGGTTTTTGTAATTTTTATCCTGACAACTAGAGAAAAAATGACAACAAATAAAAATAATTTATTGAGCTTAAATAAAAACACGTATATTGCTGACATTATTTCAGAAAATCGACGCCAAAAATAAATTTCAACGAAAACTTTCTAATTTATTTTCAAACGTCCATCATAATGACAATAAAGCATGGCTTACATTGACATTTTTTTGAACTGACATAAATTTGATGTACAAAATTCCGTGTCCGCAATTCTACAAGCAAAATTAAGAGCACCTATTAAAATTTGTTTTATTGTTTTTTGCAAAAAATTCTTTGTATTAAAGCAATCCGTTAAAAAACCTAATTCATTTCAATTTACGTAAGATTGAATTCATAAAATTTTCTTACCTTACGTTTTAAGTAAAACTGAACAGACTTTAATTGTGGTGTTTTAATGGCTGTTTTCACCATGCCGAAAATTTCGTGACTACTTTTCCGTCAATCTGCATAATAATGCGCCTCATTTTCGCCCATAGTACCTTGTATTAAACGATCTGCTGATTGCGGCATTAAAAAATCTACACACGAGCGGGCGTTTCCCGCTTCTTATTATTACACAAGTGCGGTGCAATTCACGGAAATGTATTGATTGAAGCTAATGCAGCGCCTTTATTGTGTGGCTTGATTTTCTTGGCATGCGAGAGTTAGCATAGAAAAGTTGAAAGCACAAAGGAAGCTCGTATCAGAGTGGGTTAGTGGGGCAAGTTCTTTAAACGGGCGCACTGAAGATTTTCCCTCAAGTATTCGCTTTCTCGCGCTCGAATATTAAACGAACGTAACTTTTCGCTGCATTATTAATGTCTAGAGGCTTACCTGTGCGTTTCTCGGCGTCGTTGAGCATGATGTCCTCCAACACAAGCTTCTCGCTGCGCCCTTTGGCGTTCTGCGCGTAGACAACAATGCGAAGCGAGGGTGGGAAGCCCTCCCCGGAGGGCGGGAGCATCTCCCCCAGATCCAGCCGGAAGACAGGAATGTCGGACTCCGTGCTGCTAAGGTTGAGCCGCAGACGCATGGTGTAGGCGTCGTAGGCCTCCAGGATGAACCGCTGGGGGAGGCCTCCGTCGTAGCCAGCGCGGCACTCCACCTCTAGCACGTCTAAGCTGTGATTTGTAGCGGCGCGAAGGGTGCAATTGGTGAGAGGGTTGGGCTTGGCTGGAGTGAGAATTGTAAATTTCGGAGCGATTTTTCGAAAAGTTATGCTACCTGCAGGAACCACTTGGAAGACGCAGGGGTCCGCCTGACGACCGATCGAGTTTTTGCCCCAGCAGGTGAGGGTGCCGTAGTCGCGCTGGGAAGAGGTGGTGTACATAAGCTCGCTCACGTTGCCGATGGAGGCTGAGATGCGGGCGGGGGAGACGTCAAAGCTTTCGCCACTGTTGTTGAATTGCCAGACAAAGGTAACGTCGTTGGGGTCGGCCGACACGTGACAACGCACTTTTATCACCTCGTTGAGGGAGGCTCCGATTACTGTCATCTCGGTGTCGCGGCAAACCGGAGCATCTGGAATTAGAACGTTGTCGTGCTAACAAAGCATTCTTTTTATTATTTAAACGCAAAAATAAAGTAGTTGTTGTAACACAAATAAGTAATGAAAATTTTTTTAACAGTGAACTAACAAGTAGTCAAAATTAACTTATTCTTGTAGTTATAACGTTCCTTTTGTATATAGAGTGCCTAAACTATCTGACGTTTAATCTTTCTCTTGGAGTTTTTCCCAAGTCCACAGTATTTAATTCCGGACAGATTAGTTTTTGTCCATCGTCCACCCACGAAGCAAAAAAGTCGCTCTCGCCTGATAGGTAAAACACGATCGATCGTCTTGACTTCGTTCTAACACCATCAGTTGATTTTGTAAGACGTGATCGCATTTGGAATCCCCAGGGTTCAGTTTATGAACCAAGTCGACGTAAAGACCGCACGACAATGCTCCTCAAATTGTTTTCTGGAACAGTGTCGGCGTTGGTGCTCGATTGATCGGTTCTGTTTCGAAATCCTATCGCAACGTTTTTATTCAATTCCGTTTTAATGATGTTCTTCTCGTTACATAGTTGTGTACAGACGAAAGAATCCAATATTTGCAACGAAACGTCAAACATTTAATTATCTTTCATTCGGTATTAAAATTAAACTCATAAAGTGGACCCACGTAGAAATATTAATTTTCTTAAATATCAGAGAACTTGAGCGGAAAATTAAAATGTGCCTGAAAAATTACTTTGTTGTTAGACATAAAAGGATGCAACCTGCCATAAAAAGTTACACTTAAAAACTAAATTAAAGGTAAATTGGACGGGGAGAAGAGAGGGAAGCCAAGGGAAGCAAACTGCAAGTTGTGCACTTTTTTCGCTCTCGCCTGACATACATTTTATTGAAATAATTAAAATCTGAATATAAAATTAAATTTTATAGTTTGCACAAACAAACAAATTAGTCTTGAAATACTCAAGTGCCTTTCCAGAATTGTTTTTAGAATAATAACGTTCCTAAATAATATATCTGTTAGGTATTTTACTGTATTTGTTACAACAATACGCTCTTTATCAAATGAAATAAATTAAAACACATTGGAGTTTAAAAAATTAAATGAGTGAAAGCTGTAAACACATTTTTACAACAAATAAAAAAAACGATAAATGGGCTTTTTGTATAACTATAAAAACACATGACTAGCTGTTAAGCTTAAAAATTATTAAAAAATATCAGTCACACTATGAAAGTCAAAATATGTGAGTATATTTTAAGCAATTAAATTATTATTATTAAATTTATAAAATAAAAATAGTTGAATACAACTTTGTAATTTTGTTAAAATTTGCTGCAACAATAAATTGTTCCTAAAACCGTGTTTGTGTTTAATATAAACATGTCATGTTTGTCTGAATAGAAAAAACAGTAGGGAAAAAGTGACTGACAGAAAAAAATACGTGAATTTTTTTGCTTAACAATATAGTTACCTTTATTCCAAACAATTTCTTGTTAGAAAAATTATCCAGCTGTTGAAAGTTGTTATTTACTTAACGCGATTTAAATATCTCATGAAAATGTTGCGAGAAGTTCCCACAAACCGAATTGGGCTATTCATGTTTATTCATTTACTATTATAGTTGTCCCATAAGCGTGAAATTTGCACATAAACGTAAATGTTTCCGGCAGCAAAACACACACGTATATTTAATTTAGGAGCTTATATTCATCAACAGCATATCCAGAAACCCTTTTCGTCTTTGTTCGCTTTTAAAAAAATTGAAATTATCTGCTGCTACACCTGCGAATGCTCCCGTGTTATTAATGTATTTTCCAGAGGCAATAACGGCGTCAGCACGTCGAGCTGCGCCCCATGTCCATAAAATAACACCAAGCAACGAAACGAAACCAGTTCCGAAAAAAAATTACCGTGAATGAAAGCCGCCGAGCATAAATTCGCCATTTGAAAACGATACTGTTGATCTGTAACAGATTGTTTGTAAACATGTATATCGTTTTCACGCATGGCTGCGACGTTGATCCGTCATTGAATTTGGTCGGGAAATTGACGCTTTCCGCGGTCATGCACCAAGCAAACAATTTCCCAAATGCAGCAATGATTAAATTTAAATGAAGACTAATGGCCAGGTGCACGACGTCGCACATGAAGACGTTGAGTTATTGCGATGGAAAGGGGTGTCATTGTGGAGCACGCAGCGACTACTTTCGGCACGACTTCGTGGAGAAATGCGATACGACGATATTAGATTTGCCTTCTTTATAATGTATGTGGTGCCGAAAAGGACACGTCGGGATTACTTTTGTTTCCGAATTTTCCAAGGAAATAGCAGAGCTGTGATTGCGTCAAATGTGAATTTACGAAATTTGGGGAAGAATTAAGATGCTCGCCTTTCAAACCGCACTTAACTAGGTTTTACTCCTTCTTTTGGTGGCAAAAAAAACTAAGCCGCTTTAAAGTAAAGCTGCAATTAAACTCAAATCCAGCACGTAAAATTCCGAAATTTATCCTGTGCCCTAACTCATTTGTTCATTATTTTTTTAGCGGAATTATTATCTACATTCTGTTATTCATAACTGCTTAATGGATTCAAAATTACAATTTTTATGTTGTTTTAATTTTGAAAACAGTAAAAATTCGTATAGTGTTGCAAATTATTGCCGTTAAAATTATTAAAAAATGGTGGATGCGCCGGGTGAATATATTAAACTTTATATTCTTGTTTATCATTCATTCTAAATATATTATTAGCTGTTTCAGAAGAAACTAACTTTATTCATACACTTTAATGACTTTTTTTAAATTTTAGTTTACTCTTGTTGGGTAAACAAAGCATTTTTTTGGTTTTATATAACTACAGTCTTTAATTTTACAATAAAATTAGTTGTTTTAAGAAATAATATAAAAATAATGATAATAATAGATTTCCAAGTGTGTAGGTGAATTATTGAGTTGTAGTATCATCCGTAGCCGTCATGTCGAAATTAAAAATTCAAAGCTATATCCAATCCGGAACATCCCTAACCCCAACTTCCGATAAATCACTGTAAATAAATCCTTAGTTGGGGTCATCCGGCACCGGTTGACATGGCCGTTGTGAGGTGACGTTATCGAATAGTCTTCGATATAAGATGATATCGAAAGGGCAACCCTTCTTGCGGCTATACGTCTTCACTTCTCGTTAGAGATGCAAATAAGGCGGCTATAGCAATTTCCTACCTCGACTGTGGTAATCTGTAATCGCGAACTCACTCTCTATTGTTCAGTAAACGATTGTTCCTATAACCTTCGCCGACGAAGCCACTATGGCAAAGCTGATTATCCTTTATTACTATGTGCTCGTAATCTCGGTATTGTGAACGTCTCGCAAAATTAAAATATTTTGTTCTGATAATTTTTTATCCATTTTATGATGCGAACGAAAATCGGAAACTACCTAGTCGAGATCAAAATTGAATTCGATATTTGCCCTCAACAAATCTAATCGAGCAATAAAATTCAGATATAGCTAATTTTGAATAAGCATAAAAATTATCATATATCGCATTTTAAAATTTATGAGAATCAAAATCTACAGAGAACTGCTGTCAAAGTAAAGTTCGTCGAAAGAAAATAAAGCGTTATAAAACGAGCGACAAGCAATAAGCATCAATTACTTTGATACAGACGGGCAAAATTAAAACTGACGTTTCTAAGACATGGGGACATATGAAAAATACACTATTTGCATGTAAAACAATATTAAAGATGCTCACATTCTTTTAAACGCTCAATATTGTGTTTACAGGACAAAGGAAATACCCCCATTGTATCCGGCGTATATGTGTGTATCTCCATTTTGTTCTTTTCAAGCTTATGAAAGCCGTTTTGTTGAACGCTGCTAGATTAAATTTCAACATTGTTGTTCGTCGAGCATTGCCTCTAAAATGCAGATAATTGAAATCGGCGTTGCAAACTTTTATAATCAATGTGAAATTAGCAACGCTGCATTATCGTCCCTCGGCATTGTTCTGGGACCAATTGAACACTGGAACCTCTCCACCGCTGATGACCATGCAAAGTGCACCACTCGACGACACTCGACGTCTCCTAATTGATATTTTATGGTGCGTTTGTGGCTTGCTGTACAATTTATATAGAGCGATTTGTGGGCCTATTAAACGGCTCTCGCAGAACATTTTAAAAATAACTCAATAATAAAAAATACTTTATTAATGTTACATTCGTACGATGGTCTTTGGTGTAGTTTTTATGTTAAAAATCAATAAATGTCTATTATTTATTCATTTATGTTATTTAACGTTTAAAATTATCACGCGTGTAAATTACAAAACAGTCAAAATTAACCTTTCTATATAAAACTGGTTGATATGTGGAGACAAAATGTAAAAAAAAACAGAATTTGTAATACCAAATTTCTATTTAAAGTTTTAGAAAAAAACATTTTACTTCTTGGTTTTCTTTCTAATGATAAACATTAATGCCAACGTTACACTTCAGCAGAGCGGTAATTTAAGTATTTTTTTTTAATTAAAGTTAAACGTTTTAACCTTTGATTTTCATTAGCTATTTATTAAAAACTGTAAAATTGCTTTGTTTCTAAAAAAATAAAAAAATATCGTACCTAGATGTCTTAAAATATCTCTCGAGTATTTTGAAAGCACCACAGTGAATCGCATCTAACCCGCTCGAAACTATTGTGCCTTTAATTTAAATTCATTTAGTTCAATTATTAAGTAAAAAAGCTCAATTTCATTAAAAGGCTATTTAACCACAAATAGAGTATGTATATAGAATGTTCCGTTTTTATTGTTACAAATTTAAACAGCTGATAGAATATTCAATTTTAAGAGTAAAAATTTCGACATTTTATCTTTGAATTCGTTTGGTTGTATAAAGGTTATCAGTTGTAACAAGTTTTGTAATTTTATCTACAATGGTTTCTGAAATATTGAAAAAAAGCCATTAAAAAATGCACTCTTTTGAGGAGGTGTAGCTCCCTTGCATGGCATTTTTCGATGTTCATAGGAAACTTTTATCTTAAAATTGAATATTCTATCACCTGTTTAAATTTGTAACAATAAAAATAGAACACATTTAAGTACATTTACAAGAATTAATTCTTCTCTCAAAAAGGTGTGTTTTTTCTTTATTGTTAATAGTGTTAGTTAATATTTTAATAGTAAAAGCTGTGAAAATGGCAAATTTAATCCTCTTCTGTAGGATTTGAAATGACACATCATGAGAAAAATGCGAAACTTGTAGGTACCTAATACTTTTTATTAACCTTTCAAAAATCAAGCAATGGAAATATGAAAAGTGCTTCTAAAGAAATGACAAGCTCCAAAATAGGAGTAACAGACGGTAGCGTTCTATAAAAAGAATAAAGTTTGTATTGCGCTACAATTAATAACTCAATGGTGTTGATCACTTATGTAGAAAACTACTCTAAGGTTGTCAGTTTTTAATCTAAATGAAAATGTTCATGAGATTTCTATATGTATGTTATGAAATCGAATCACAATGTTGTTATATTAAAAACAATATTTCCTTTTGTTTCTTAATGTTATTTAGATGTTGTTTTAAAACCCCCAAAGCTCCACTTTAGTTGAAAATTTTTAACATATTCTTTTGTAGTAGTTGGATTATTGTAAATATAACGTTACAAAGCATGGGTATAAAAACAGTTTAACATGTTGCAAAAACTCAGCTTCGAATTAAAAGCATCGATTTTGTTGAAGTTTGTAAAGTGATATAGCTTTGTGCAGCATTGCAGGGTTTTCATAATCTAGAAAAGACAGCTCGTACAAATTCCTGACTTAATTTATCCGATCAAACCGCGTCGTAAATAATATTTCGTCGACGTCGAGTTCGAGTTCGGCACGGCATACGGCGCATCGAATTTATCGTCGATGTGGCGAAAATCGCGCATCTTGGAATGCCTGTGTCGCGTATTAGATTAATGCGGCATGCAATTAAATGCATATTTGCGTTGCAGCACGTACGTGATATAAATGCGGGCGAGTGCATTACGTCGTTCTCGGACACCTGTTCGACCGGATGCATGTCCGCATAATACATCACTCGTCTCGTTTTTAGGCATTCCTGCAGATCGTCGAGTCTTTGGTGGAAATTGTAATTTGTGCCATCAGCGGCAGGGCTCGTGTCATTTCTGCAACCTCTCGAATTGAAAGAGGAGATCTATGCGCCGTATAAGTCAGACGCAAGAGTGCGGCGTCAAAGACCGCCCCCCGGGGACTGAATTAATCATGAGCGAGGTAGCAGCCAACTGCAGGCTTCATTAGATTGCCGATATTAGGCTAATGCGATTCAACAATCGATGATGTTCGAATTCGACGAGCGAAGATGAAATATTTGCTGGTATTTATGATTTAATTGTGCACACGCCTGGACGGTAAACTCGCTGTGCTCTTCGTGCACTTCCACTTCCAATTTCCGACTCTCATTTAACAAATTGGCGTAATCATGAATTGAAATTTATGTTTACCCTTTGAATTTTTCTCGAAGAAAAGTGAAACTCTGACACAAATTCCGTAATAAAAACGTTTGGAAAAATCGTATATTGTATTAAGTTTATGTGAAAAGTCACGCAAACTTTAAATATTTCACTACACAAAGGTCACACTAGAAATGTCGAAGTTGAACGTTTCTCTCACACTTGCAAATTCGAAAGTGTGAAAAAATCTGAACTAAGTACATTTTTGAGAGTAATCACGTACGCTTAAGATAATTCACGTCGTGACAGGAAGTTGCGTCATTGGTGGTTGTTCCCGAGGGTTCACATGTCAATCTGACTAGACCCGCTTAAGCTGGTCGCACAGGGATTACAAGTTGTGGTCGTTAAGCCCTACTGCAGGTCACCTCATTTGTACACATTGCATATTCCGCACCACGCTTCACAATCACACTCGGTCATTTCCTTTTAACCAGATGGTTTTCAAAACATCTTTCTATTTGTATTTTAAAACTACCAAGTTTGCCTGGCGCATCCACCATTTTTCAAACACGAATGTCACTAGTAAGAATAATTTATTCTAAATTTACTGTAAATTACGAAAAATCAATTAACAACTGACTCATATACTCACTTGTGTATGTAGGTAAATTAACTTTTTAGCAAAGTTTTGATTTGTTTCCTCAAAGGGTAACAAAAGTTTGTTACAAACCACACAAATTTAACTCATCTTTTGTATGACTTCAGAAAAAGTGTAGTTTTTCATCTAACAGAAGCTTTTTACTTGTTTTTGTAATAAAATACAGTAGAATACTCGATTAACAACAATTTTTCAGTATATACAAGGTGATTCTTAAACAGACCGACAAAATTTTATCATAGCTTCCCAAGGATAAATGAAGACAAACTGCACCCTTTTTACGTTTATATATTTTAGGGGCAAAACCCCCTTGATCGTTTATGAATTGTCGCAATGATCAAGTACATTTTCATCAAATTAATACCATGATTTCCACTAGCTGTGCTAATACTATTTACGAAAACATGAGTGGCGTACGCTTTACCTCGAAAGTAACTTTAATAAATTTTATTTGGAGAACGGTTAAGCAAAGAATTTTTTAAATATTCTTTCCAGCATGTTCTCATTTGATACTACCAAGGATAAAATTTTGTCGGTCTATTTAAGAATCACCCTGTATAGATTATAAGTGTTTTAATTCAAAAACCAACCAAAAAATTTGCTCGGTAGTTTTAGACGACATCCACATTATTCAAATGCGAGCAATTATACGATTTCAACTCACAGCTATCATTTTTATTTTAATTGTTTATTTTCTGTTAATGCTTATTAAAAATAACAAACATCATACATACTATAAATAGAATAAGTATGTAATTGCTTTATTGTTTTGTATAAATGAGCTCAAAAAAGATATACTTAAGAGTTTATTTCGAATACAATAAAGGATTTAGAGTGGAAAGGCTACTACATACCTAACATACCTATCTACAATAATTTCGTTATTAATTTTGTGTTATCTGCTTTGAACATATTTGATATGGCTTTCTGCAAATGAAACTTCATGTTGATACTTAAAATCAGCGAACAAAGCAAGATAAAATATATTTTATAATATTTTCTCTTTGCAATAAATTTGTTTCGCATTTAAGATTTGATTAATTTATTACGACTGACCTAGTTTGTTCGCAACTTTAGTCACCTGATTGTAAACATTCCTAAATTATATACGTATGAAAAAACAAAAAGCATCCATAGCATGGATTTTGTTCTTTTTTATAATTATTTCCTCTTAAAAAGGATTTTGAAAATAAGTGCATAAATGTTTTGGGATGATTAAAGTGTGTGAAAGTGTGTATAATTGCATTCGTTGACACCTGTACATAACAGGTAATTAAATAATTTGTGATTTAATTTCATTTCCATTCCCTTGTCGGAAAACACGTCGACGCGGCACGCAAAAAGCGCGAAAAACCTCCGGAAAATTAATTGCGTTGCAAGTATTAGCGCTAGGCAGTCGTCCTCGTCGCGGTTAATAAATCACTCGTACTTACATCTAACCCTCAGCATGACAGGATTGCTGACATTTTCCCCGCGAGGGTTGGCCGCCAAGCAGGTGTAGGCGCCGCTCTGCCACCTGGTGACCCTCTGCAGGACCAGGCTGTGTGTGCTGATGATCACGCCCGATGACATGTTCTGACTCACCAGTGTGCCCTGTTGATACACCATCTATTAGTCATTATTAACTCGAGGGTTGGTCCGAGGGTAATAAGCAATTCATTAAGGCCGAGTTCGGGCCATGCCTCGATTAATTTGAATACGAAATGGATACGTTTCGATGGGAAAATATCCGGGAGATTTATCGCGGCGTGTTGAACCTCCGGCCGGAATTAGATTGCAAAAGGGTATCGTGCTGGAAGAAGTGCATTTTCTATTCCGCCAACATCACTCGCTCTTTATTTCACTGTTAGGGAGTAATATTTCCTTCACGCCATGCCGTATCAAAGTAACGACCCGTTTGGGGTTCGATATCGGAATGTATGTTTACACAACACTTTGTTGCGATCTACGGCCTCACGCCACTCGAAAAGCTCGAATACAGGGTGTTCCCGCTGCTAAATCGCCTAATATACCACTTCATAAAACGGGCAAATTGATTAATCGTTGTTTTCATTAAAACTCAATACAAACTTTTTCCCCTCGATTCAAATTAATTGTCGTGAGTACGCGCGAACTTTATGTGGAACACCATAAATCAAAAATAATAATTTGCCTTCATCAAAAATTAATTTCGACTCAGTGCCCATTAAAACGATGACTTTGATAACTGCGAGAAGTGTTGTAAATTTGCTAAATTAGTACATAACCCTCCATTTTCATGAATATTGAAGTGTACTGTTTCATTAAACAAAGCGACTTCCCGGCTTTCAACAGTCGAAGGAGCAAGATTAAGATATCTTTAATAAAACATTTTATGTCTGTCACTACATTCCTACAAATTAATGGCAAACAAGTGACTCGACAAAACTCCTAGTCAACTAAATTGCTGATATGAAGAAGTAGTTTAAGATCTGAAGTAGAAATTTAAAGGAAATGAAAACAGACTCTAAACAATTCAAAGAAAAAGATTATTGTACTGTTTCTCATTTCATAGAGAGCATGTACATACAACAAAAATTCAATTTCAAAATGATGACAGTCAACACCAAATCTGTTAGTAGAATTACTTTACTTATAAAAATAAATTTCTTTGCTTAAACCTTCATTTAAAAAAATAATTAATGAATGATAAAATATTTTAGAATCGTAATCGGTGTTAAGAATTAATTAGTATTTTTTAAGTTCTGTGGCATCTTACCCCTACTATAAAATTTGATCTAAGGATTATGGTCACAAAATTCAATTTTTGTAAAAAAATTCCGAGTAACTAGGTTGCTATTTACCTTTTACCAATTATTTTTTTCCAAAAATTTTATAACACATAGTTTAAATAAAAAAACGTCTAGTTCCATACTTTTTGGTACTAATTGAAATTGAAATTTGGGGTGGTAGTCATTCGCCCCACCACCCTGTTCGGTAAAACGCTCCATGGGTGCCCCGAACCATGCAACCTCTTCTCGGCGAAGACGACTAAAAATTATCTAAAAAAAAATTCGAGAAGGAAAAAAAATAAACATAACAGAATTAACGATACTCCTGTTTTTGTAACCCTGGCATAACTATTGATATTACCGGAAAACGAAATAGAATTATTAATAACATGATTCGAATTACTTAATAACCTTACTAGATCCATGTTACTTAACTTAACATTTTCAATTTGTTGCTCTAGAGCAGTAATTTTCAGAACGAAAAAGGTCATTATGTCATCTCGCATTTTAATTGCAGCAAGGTGGCTGTATTTTCGATAATTTAGGCAAAAATCGGGCTGATAATGAACGCAATTATACAGGGCTGTTCCGTTTTTATTGTTACAAATTTAAACAGGTGATAGGATTTTCAATTCTAAGACAAAAGTTTCCTATAAACATGTATCGAACAATCATTGGTAAGGGAGCTACACCCCCTGGAAGGGGGCTAATATGTTTTTGCAAATATTTCAGAAACCATTTAAGATAAAATTACAAAATTTGGTACAGATAATAACCTTTATACACCTAAACAAATTCAAACATCAAATGTCGAAATTTTTAATCAGGGGCGTTCGAAACTGGGGGGAGTTTAAGGTAAAAAATACCTTATTTATTTTGGCTTTAGTTTCTCGGTACTTTCAGCAACAAAATCTTAAGTTCGATAGTTTATCACAGAAAAGTCTCTCTGTGTCGATACGACTTATTGTTTTTGAATAAAATTAATTTAAAATTTATGTTACACACCAATACAACATTCAAATAAATCAGAATTTACAGAATAATAAAAGCAAGAAATTCATTTTTTTTTAATCAACCTCAACTAATTAACAGTACATTACAGTAACAATAATAACATTAATTAAATGAATTTGCCTAAATCTAAACGAGTTTTCAAAGTGACCACCATTTTGGTCAATGCATAACTAAAGAAACTAAAGCCAAAATAGATAGGGTATTTTTTTTCCCCTAAACCCCACCAGTTTCGGACGCCCCTGATTAAAAATTTTAACATTTGATGTTTGATTTCGTTTAGGTGTATAAAGGTTATCATCTGTACCAAATTTTGTAATTTTATCTTAAATGGTTTCTGAAATATTTGCAAAAACATATTAGCCCCCTTCCAGGGGGTGTAGCTCCCTTACCAATCATTTTTCGATACATGTTTATAGGAAACTTTTGTCTTAGAATTGAATATCCTCTCACCTGTTTAAATTTGTAACAATAAAAACGGAACATCCTGTATACATCTGGCGAGTGTATAACCGAGTCTTGACACACACTTGGGATGGAAAATCATGCCACAACGAATGCATTTTGAGCCTTCTTCGGCTTTATTTTTGCGATATGAACATGGAGCTACACTGTCTGTAGGTATTGTGTTGTTGCTATTATTAATGTTTAGTCTTGAAATTTAGGAATTAGTCTTCTTAAAGTGCCGGCTATTATTTTTCGACCATCTTCTGTTTAATAAAAACGCTCAAGAGTCAAAATGCGTTAATCGTTATTAAATTTAAGCGCCGCACGATCGAGCGTATTACGTGCGTAAGAAATAAATTTAGATACAATTGTTATGTACAGTATAATTAAATTTAATTTTTTTTAATCAATAAGAAAATTAGCATAAACAATATATTTCATTCATCCAAAAGCGTCTGTATAATAGTATATTAAAGTACAAGTTGCAGAAGCACAAATCTGAAATTCCGAAACGAGCCACGTAGCGGCGAGTTGAGGAACAAATGAGTGCTTGAAGAACCTTCTGCAACAAATGCTTTTGCTACTTTTTCTATTTTGGGGTTTAATATTTTATAAATTAAAAAACGAAATTTTTTTTTCTAGAAAATTTTGTGACGGTTGGCGACATTTCTGTAGAATAATTTTAGGCGGCTGTAAAAAATAAAAATAATTCATATTTTCACATTTGAAAATGAATTGAATTGAATGAATACTTTAACCAACACCTACTCTAATTTATTTATTTTTTTGATCGCACGGTATTAGTGCTTTACATAATTAGAGCATTTTGCTTTTTCAATTATAAATAGTCAAGTAAAGTATTTTGTAATGCTGCTTTTAAATTGCACTGTGAAAAGACAAAAATACTGTGTCGTTGAAATAAGATTAAAAAAATTTAATACTTAACAATAAACAAGAAAGCAACCTTCTACATGAGTATTAAAAAAAGAAAAAACAGAGAAGTAACGTAATAATAATAATCTACTTTTAAAACTTGTCTATTCATTTGAGTTGCTGATCTACTATTGATTTATCCAACGAGTTATTCGTTGTTTTAAATTTATTGTTTGTATTAACTGGAAATAATATTTATTTATATGTTAATCCAGTATAAAAAGGCATTATTTCTACTAAAAATATGCCTGGAAAGGTTATACTGTTTTGTTTTATCGTCCCAGTATTAATAAAATTATTAAAAAATTGTATGTGTAGTATGGTATTTATAGTAGCCGCTTATTCTTTTGTGCATAATAGAATATTATTTTAGGTTAAATGTAAGTCTTAAGTAATTTACTGCAAGCAGAACTGTTTCGTTTGACATTAATATCCAACTCACGACAAGCTTGCTCAACATTTGCTTTGTTGTATTATTTTTATTAATAAGAAACAAATCTAACAAAATCTGTTAAACAGCAAATTTCTATAAGATTATCAACCGTACTGCAATCGACAAAAACTCCAGAAAATTAAAATCAGATTTCTGATTATCGTCGACATCCCCTCGTCGAGATAGGACATTGCTGTCTGTCTCAAATTTTCCATAACGACAAACAGCTATCTCATACGCCCCTTGTCTCGTAAATGGCCCACTTGTAAAGCTCCGTGTCCTCGTCATCTGCAGCGAATGATAATAGGGCTCTATGCTAACTTAATTACACATTAAAAAAAACTAATTTAATAGTGGCTGCTTCACATTTGAGATGAGTTGTAAACGATCGTATGAATAATTCAGAAACACCAACAACGACATTAATACATTACACATTTTGTAAGCACCACACAAGTGGGAAGAAAACTTTATCATTTATGCATCACTCATTAGACCAGAACGAGAATATAAGCCGCGGTTGTGAGAGCTAAATGATAATTTATTAGACTGTAAAAGGGTACCGCCGAGGGTGGCGCTTGGAAGCTGCGACAGATTGTAAAGATATTTCCATACAAATGCCCCCTAACACAGAGTTGGCGCGTTTTTAGCTTCATCAAACTTTACAAGCATTGCTACCATATTTAGTTAATTAGCAAATTAGTTTTAATTTGATTCAAAAATGTTCTGTTGCTTGATAGACAGACAAGTTTACACTGTTGTGCACCTTTATCTGTTGCTAGCTGTTCAAAAATATCAGAGTTCCTTGTTATCTATGGCACGTCGTTGATTTCTGGCGCCGATGTCTGTTTTAGTTTATTGTACATGCAGCACACGTCACTTTTTGACATTTGCCATCGATCAGAGCAACCTGAATCTGAAATAAGAATGGCCACCGTGTTATTTGTTGAGAATCGCGCCACAATTGGAAATTTAACCGACATTTACGCGATTATCTCCGAGTGATAAGAGACGCTAACGGCCCAATGAACATCTCGACTAATTTGTTGACGTTTCGTTTTGGGCGAGGGCACGTAGATGGGCTTTTAACGGCCGTTGGTGTCGCGGTCGCAAAGATTTACGAGCTTGGACACTGCAACTAATTTCATTCGGAAATGAAGAAGCTCTAATAATTAGTTGTCGCTGCATTGTTGTGCCTTAATGTAAATTAACTACGGGATACGGGCCCTAGCACTAAATTACATTATTTTCATAAGAGTTAATGCGACTTATACGAACTTGTGTGCACTTGTACTCTGTGTTAGACTCGCTTCATTGCCTTGCTAAAATGTCACCATTTTAATAAATGGCTTTGTCGGTGCTGGTTAATGTTATTTACTATCAGATAGTTCGGTGCCGTTATTCGCGCTAGATGTAATAAATTAAATTTTATTTTTTCCGCTGGACTACTCCGCCCAACCGTATTTTATAAAATATAGATTTTTTAACACACCATATACATAGTAAAATTGCACTCAACTTAGTTGATAAAAAAAGCAATTTTCATAAAGCAAAATCATAAAGCATAACACCTAATAATCATACTGTATAGTAATCATATTGTAAACATTATCTTCCATCAGTACAAATAATAAATATACCTATACATAATTCTTGTGAAAGAAATATAATTTAGTACAAATGTAATCAAAGAATAAATAAATACCTTTGTGTGGTCAACAGTTCCGTTCATTTTTTATAAAATTTTCAAAATCGACTACCAATTTTCCATTAAAAAAATTATTGTGGTACAAGTAAATTGCTAACGTTGGTTTTGTTTATATTTATTATAAATTAACTCAGAAATTTGTCGATTTTCACAACTCTAAATTGTTTAACACAGTTTGTCTCTATTAGAAACAATGCACGTTTTAATGTAGTAGTTTTGCTCACTAAAAAACATTTATAACGTACTTTAAGTTCATTGTCTTCAATTTAAATGTAGTAGTAATAAATTAATTTGTTGGTTTTTCTAGTAAATTTAACAACCAGAAAAATCTCAAGTGTTCAAATAAATTAGTTTAGGCACCAATATGTATAAAATCAAACATTAGTTTAGAGGTCATCCAAAATCATTATTTGGAAATTTAGTTAACCTCTTTCTTTTAGTGTTTTTTCCCTAGTTGTGATTTGTTGGAAGAAATAAATAAAGATCATGAAAAACTGAAAAATCCCATTCGCCAATAAAACTAATATATTTTTGAAAAAATATAGCTTTCGATTTCACTTCTATATGAAAAATAAGCTAGTGAATAGCCACTCGCTAGAAAATTTCTTTCCTTTGTCGACCATTAATCATAAACCTTGCTCACAAATTGATTCTCATCACCACTTGTCAGAATAAAAACAATTTAAACCCATTTATATTTTGTTACGTGTTTTAGAGAAATCACAAATCGGAAATTTTTTTAGTAATCAATGCGAGTATACATATTTTTGCAAACTTGTACGAAGTAATTATAATGTCATTAGATTTGTTTCATGAGTTCACTTAATGTTTTATTAGTTTTTATTACGCTCATAATCTTATTTACAGTAAAAGCAATAAATTGTATTGACAAGAAGCAAATTCATCTCAAATTTCAAAATACATAAATGATTTTAGATTTTGTATAAAAAGTGTCTCAGACTTTATTAAAGAAATAATTAAAAATCTCCATCAAAACGAAAGCTTGTCGAAATAAGTCTAAAACGTAATTCTCTCGTGGTTCGAATAGTAAATTAACCAACTCTAGTAACTTTCGAACCAATTTAAGACTATTGGACTTCAGGGATTGCAAAATTATGTTGTGACTTTAGAAATCATTACCAGTTAGATTAATATTCCCTTTTCGTAGATGCTTACTTAGAAAAAATTAATCGATTTTTCTTTCAGAATCAAGTGTTTGTTTAGACACCGTGTTCCTTTATTAATTTTTAAATGACACTCGTGTAAAATGGTTTTACTTTGTAAATGATGTTGATTTCAAGGCGCATAAAATTCTGCATCACAGGTCACAGGTACTCGATCCTTTGCTGGTAAATTTACTCTCATGAGAGCAATATCAAAGACGTGAGTCTGTAAATGTAGCTTTTTACGAGTCCCCGTCAGAGTAGCCCCACCGACACTAAGTAGCCATTTTCAATTATGAGTCAAATTATATCGCGCAGAAACTCCAGATATAAGCACTAAAGGGTCGCGAGTGACGTATAAAAATTGTGATTTGTCACCCTCGGCAGTATTTTAACATGGAATTAATTCTTAAAGAAGAGGCGTCAATACTCCTGTTTTCCAATGTCGTTTTTACTGCTTTGATATAAAGATTGCGTGTAATCCGCCTTTTATGGTTCATAAAGAATCTCCAATTATTGCTTATGAGGCCTATCCTCGGGGCGAAATAAACCCTATCAAATGTGTATCTAAGGCAGATACGGTTAAATGCGAGTTATAGCACTTGAAATCCTGAAAAAGTGGCCCACCACGATCCAAAGATATGCGTCCCAAGAGGGGGACGCAGGGTTAAATTACCGCTGTCCAGGCATTAAATCTTATTGCCATCTCTTTTGCTCCGTGTTTGGTAACGGTACCAATCTGCCCAAAAAGTTTGTTTATTTATTTTTAATATCCTAAACAAACTTCTGATTTCTACCGTTCGAAAGCTAAGAAGGGAAAAGACGAGAACGCAGAGTCGTGAATTAAAGAAACGAATGTTGGTCAAACTGTCGTAATTCCAGGTTGGGATATAAATGCTTCGAGAACTTTCGTTATGTATGAAGTTTGTCGGTCGAAGGAAGGACTAATCACTCTTAGATTAACTTCTTTCACATTGCTTTACTTAATTTTTTCGCCGTTTCTTTCATTCCAAACTTCTTTTTGTCTGTAATTAATTTCTTTTTCAGGACATAAATAGCCATCAATAAATTTTTTCTACTTCACTTTTTGCTCCTCTGCGAATGCTAGCTCTGCAATTACTAATTTTACCCCAAGGCAGCCCTTGCAAATATTTGGGTAGATAATACAAGAAAACACTTAATATCTTTTTAAATAACTTGATGGTGGAGACTTTTATGTGATTTTTATTATTATTTTTTAAATTTTTTTTAAATCGAATTTTTCAATGTAATTATTTCACAAATAAAGAGAAACCGATAATCTATTGAACAAATCACGGATGTTATGAACTATAACAATCTTAGATGTCCGAGATATTAGTTATGACAATCATAACATCAATCACTATGTTAATAACTGTACTGTTTTCCATTTGTCAATATCTAGAGTTTTAATTAATAAAGTATCCAATTTCAAAATAGCATTTAAAAAAATAATTATGACTGAAAAATATACTCACATCACCTTTGCGATTGCAGAAATAGTTTCGTTATTTTTATAAATTCACATAGAAAACATTTAAATATGAAAAAACAACAAATAGTGACACATTTGACGATTTTTAAGAATGCAATACTGTAATGAATAAAATAAAACAAGCAACCCCCAAGATACTGCATCTCTGGAGTACTATGTATATAGTGAATGCCTCGCAGTCCTATTTGAAAATGTTTCATTCTAAAAAATGAAGTATTAAAAATTTTTCTCCACGAGCACGTATTTTAAGTTGTTCCTTTTTTCGTGATTCTTGACTCCATATGATAGCAATTTGGCACATTTCCAGCGTTTTAATAGTTTTTTATATATCAAGAATTTGAGTTTGCGACTTAATTAAAACAGATGTTCACATTATTATTTTTTCAAATTTCGACATTAATTAAACCGACAAAAGTTTATTCAAAAATCCGAAATGGAACAAAAACCTACTCTTTCTCTTGATTTGTCGAACCAAACAAAAAGATTAAGCGAAATCCTTGTTCTAGGAGCGTCATTTTACCGACAAACCGAGTAAAATGTAGAACCCCAGGTCGCTATCGCTGCCCCAGAGTGGGATTAACTTTCTCCTCTGAATCGGGAGTATGAAAACAATTAAACTGATTACCTTCAGAGGAGCTATAGTAGTAAGACAGGCCGGCCGTTAGGGACAAACTAATAAAAATTAAAACGCGTGGAAATGCTGCGGCTTCGTCCGTCCTGCGCTTAATTAACACAGTTACCCTTTTGGGCAGCTCGCGGCAAAATCTGCGCTCCAGACACGAACTCTCAAGGGGGCGAAAAGAGGAAGCAGCACTCTAAACACAATCTCAATTAAAAAACAATTCACACATTTTTATATGTAAGTATTGACAAGAAATTTTTAGCTGAAACACCCTGTATGCAGTTCGATTAAAAAGTTGTAAGCTAAACAAAAATGTTTTGGATATTCGGAAACCCCTTACTTACATCGTGGAACCACGTGATCTTGTGCTGCTTAGGGTTGGCTTTGATGATGCACTCGAAGTACACGTCGTCGCCTTCTTTGATGTCTTCGGGATTGAGAGTGCTGCCCAGGTGAAGCTCCACTTTGGGGGGATCTAAAATAAACACAAAGTCAGCGTTTGCACTCTTGACAATGGAGTACCCAAACAAGTTCTTTTAATTGGGTCGAATACAAAGAACCATTTCGTTTCGAAATATCAGATCAATATTATGCTAGTAATATTAATTTGCCGGTCGCATTCCTTTGCCGATGTCGTGAAAATGGTAACAAGGTGGCGTGTCAGGATTCCTCCGTAATTACAACATTTCATGAGTATAACGTGGTATTAAAACTCTCTCTTTGTAGAGGATGCAATTATTTCATTTAATATAAAGAGACTGATGCACCGATAAAGTGCACGCTATTTGCAAATATAATAAACTATTTTCCTGTGATAAAATTTAGTTTTAAGAATTTGTGGGACTTTAAGGAATTTTAATATCTTAAGAACAAGAGACACGAAGAAAACTGGATATACATTTTACTTTTAGTTAGTTGACATTAAGTGCTTTTAAAGATGATTAAAATTAAAATAATGTTTACCCTCTATCTTAGTACGAATATTAAAAGAACCGCGGGCATGCTTGTTGCTAACTATTCAACAAGAATTTATCATCAGTTTATTAACTCGACTCAGTGTTGCGGTTTTAATTTATTAACTTTCTCATATAAAACAATTTTCCTAAGTAATATTAAGTGTAGGTACGTTTGCTAATGGTTACTTAAATTTTTTTTTTTTCAAACTGAAATCTGTTTAGGTAATTATATTTCATATAATAATGTGTGGCCCAAAGCAAAGATAATGTTTGTCTTACTCCATTAATAAAGATAATATTATTTATTATCATTTCGCACGTTTGCTATTCGCCAGGACTAAAATCGATTAAAAAAATCTCATGAATGACGCAATAAACAAATCTACATTTTATGAGTATGCCTTCTTAAAAATATAGAATTTTTCGTCTAGATGTTCCTAGTCTTATTATTATAATATTTTTTTTGCAATTTAAATTTGAACGTATTATTTTTACACCCTTTTTAGACCCTTTAAAATCAGATGTACGACCTAATAAAATATTCTCTTTTAAAAATATGATCGTAAAATTACACGTAAGTAAAGAAGATTAATGAATTTTTTACAGTTGGTATTTGATAGAACTTCATCATAACAAATATCAAAGGTTACACATGCAATCTCGTTTTTAAATATTTTATTTGATTCTTTTGTATTTACAAACTAGCTCATAATAAAAAAGTAAGCTTATACAGGTGCGCCAGAACTCGCGCCCAGAAAGGTAAGATACCAGGAACATGAAAAAAATTAAAAAAAAATTATCTATAAAAATTTTGAAGTTATGAGAGTTTAAACTTTGCACTTTGACTCTATTCTTGTTGAAAAAAATATTTTCCAAGCTTTTTTGCTACATGCTGTTAGAAAAGGAAACAAGGAAGCTGCATCCTAAATTGCATCTCTGTTTAATGTTATTTGTGACTTTTATTCGCAAAAATTTTGTACTTTTACTAAATAGCTATAAATACACAAAATATAAAAACTATAAATACACAAGGTATACAGGGTGCGCCAGAACTCGCGTCCCAGAGAAAATTTTCAAGTAAGGTAAGTAAGATACCAGGAACATGAAAAAAATGTTTAAAAAATTCTATCTGTCAAAAAATTTTGACATTTATTTTTTGTACATTTGACATTTTTTTATATTTATTTAATGATACTGATGATCTTGTATGTTTTTTTACAATTATTTAGTAAAGAGACAAAAATTTTGCCAATACAAGCCACAAATAACATTGAACAGAGTTAAAATTTAGGATACATCTTTCTTTTTTCCTCTTTTAATAGCCTATAGCAAAAAAAACTTGGAAAATTAATTTTTCAACAGAAATAAATAAAGTCAAAGTGCAAACTTTAAACCCTCATAACTTCGAAATTTTTATAAATAAAATTTTTTTAACATTTTTTCCATGTTCCTGGTATGTTACCTTATATATCTCTGGGGCGCACCCTGTATAAATATTATCGTATCAACAAGAAATTACTCCCTAGGATTTAGGGATATTCGTGAATATGTTGCCATAAATTTGATTAGGTTGGTTTGTAGTGACAAATAAAAGATATCGTAACTAGTGTAAAAAATTTTGGTTAAGTCACCTGACAGCTTGTACAGATAACTCAATTGATAGTTGACAGCAGGTTGACAGAAAACGTCAACAACAAGGGGTAACCTAGGCATTCAAAATTACTTCTAAAAATTCTAGTTACAAACAACATGAAGAACGTAATTTTCCTAAAAATTCAAATTCTAGGTGGTAATTTCTTCTTGAAAAATCTGTATTCAAGATAATCATTATCATTAAATAGTCATAAAAAATGTCAAATGTCAGAAAATAAATGTCACAATTTTTTGCCAGATAGAATGTTTGAAACATTTTGTCCATGTTCATGGTATCTTATTTAACTTGAAATTTTTCTCTGGGGCGCAAGTTCTGACACACCTGACCAGACCCGATTTTTTCAGAATTGTCATTTTTGATAAATACCCTAAAAAACAATGCCCGCAACTTTTTACTAACTGTCTAAAAGTAAACCGCCATATGTCAACCAATGATAGAAAATGTAATTCTGAGAAATAAGTTTAAATATTTTTTTTTCTTTCTTCATACGTTAAAGAGTTACAGCTTAGCAAAGATTTACAATGAATTTTCCACAGTTGGTCGTGATAAATTAAAAACGATGACATTTATTGCAAACAAAAGTTCTTCTTCGGCTGCACTTTTTGGTGACTTATTACCATGGACATTTGACATTTTTCTCTGGAGCGCGAGTTATGCGACATCCTGTATATTAAAATATAAATTTTTTGGCTTGTTGCTCTTTGAATAACCCTATTTGTTCTTTATAATAGTCTGTAGGTAATCGACCTATCGTAATACCATAGTATTACAGTGTAAATCAATTGATTTTTCGATATATTCAAAAGAATGGGCAGAATTTTTGAAAATAAATAGCTGCATTACTTCTAAATACATCAAAAAATCAATTGATTTAGACCCTATATTAAAATGTTTTCCTTTCCTGTCGCTTTATTTTTTCCGTTTTAATTAAATTAAACCGCGTGTCAATTCGATTAAGCTGACGTCACAAGGAACGTTATAACCGTAACTGTTGCAAATAACTTACGCTCCTCAGCAATTTCACTTCGTTGCAACTTCTTCTCTAAAACAAATGTAATTATATTTTAATATAATGGAAATCCCAGCTGCGATCGACACTAATTCAAAGTTATTCTCTTATAATCTGTTCCGTGTCATTTAAACTAGTCAGTTACATGAACAAAAGAGGGAGGTAACGCGCGTTTTGTTATAAATTTTATCACTACCAGATGTCGTTCAAACGGAAGCTGTCATTTCTGTCAAAATTTTAATTGACAATATTGAATTCTCCATAAATTGGTTTCGTGAAGTAATATGGTGAAAGAAAGTTTTCTAAAAGATTTTCTCGCGGGTGGAATATCGGCGGCAATCGCTAAAACTGCCGTCGCTCCCATCGAACGCGTAAAACTCATTCTTCAGGTGCAGCATGCTAACAAACAGATCCCTGAAGAAAAACGTTACAAGGGCATGATGGATTGTTTTATCCGCATTCCCAAAGAGCAAGGTAATTGAATTTTGCAAATTTCCAATCGAATCTGTACACTTTTCAACTTCGATTAGGCTTTTTGAGCTACTGGCGTGGTAATTTGGCCAACGTGCTTCGGTACTTCCCCACCCAAGCTTTAAACTTTGCGTTCAAAGATGTCTACAAACAGATCTTCATGGAGGGTATCGACAAGCACACTCAGTTTTGGCGTTACTTCGCCGCCAATTTAGCCTCCGGAGGGGCCGCTGGAGCCTCCTCTTTGTGCTTTGTCTACCCTTTGGATTATGCCAGGACACGACTTGGTGCCGATGTCGGCAAAAGTCACGCCGAACGCCATTACACAGGAATGGTCGACTGCATCGTGAAAACGTTTAAATCGGATGGACTTATTGGATTATACCGGGGGTTTGTCGTATCAGTCCAAGGCATTATCATATACCGGGCTTCTTATTTCGGCTTCTTTGATACCGCAAAGGGCATGCTTCCCGACCCCAAAAATACGCCGTTCCTCGTCTCGTTTGTTATAGCGCAAGTGGTGACTACAATTTCAGGAATCACTTCGTATCCTTTTGATACGGTAAGAAGACGAATGATGATGCAGTCAGGAAGAGCTAAACATGATATTATGTATAAAAATACGTTAGACTGTTGGATAAAAATTACGAAAAATGAGGGACCACTTGCATTTTTCAAGGGGGCTTTTTCGAACGTCTTGAGAGGCACGGGAGCTGCCTTGGTCCTTGTTTTCTACGACGAAGTTAAAGCTTTGATTTAATATTTGTGTTCGGACTAAACTTGTTGGGCAACCATAAGTATTAAAATTTTTGTATTACTGTTTTGTGTTAATTAGCTTTAGTTGTTCTTAATATTTTTTTGTTTGTTTTCTAATGAGTTCGATAAATAAAATTGATACTTAAATGATGTTTTTTTTAATAATAATAAGTTTTGAACGGGAAATTTGAATTATGCATTCTATGGAATTCTATGCATTTCCGCATAAAATACAACGTTTTGAAATTGAAATCATTGCCACTAGTTTATGAAAGAAATTGAAGCCGTCATCAGACATGTATTATATAGAAATGTATGTTCATTCTTACGGAAGCTTTGCGTTTGTGAGTTGCCAACTTTTCGTGTAGTTTATTCTACGAAGTATAGGTATTAGTTGAAGTGGGTAGTTTTAAAAATGGCAAAGGAAGAGTAAATAAAGCTGAGCGTAAGGGCGCCCAGGGAGTTGCGACGTACGAATTGTGTAATGAAGAAATAACACCGCTCGGTGAAGGAAATGTATCAGATTTGACTAAAAGGAAAAACGAGCTGGAACTTTCGAAATTAAATTAAGTCAGCTTGCTCATAATTTCATATTTATAACATCTGCGGTCTCTTAGAGCGCTGCAGTGACATTCACTCTCTCTTGAAATATTAGTTTCGGTTTAATACGGGAAAAGAAGAGACGGATACTGACTAATTAACGAATGAAAAACTTTCAAGAAGTTGCTGTTTGCTCTATATGCACTTTGAATAAGCAGTTAGTTGATTCTTTTTTTACAGTCGGCCAGCGGTTAACTTGGGCAAGATTGCTTTGAATAATTTAGTTTAGAAGTTGTTGTTACATTGGGTATATAGTTTGTAAAGTTATTAGCTATTTGGAAGTTCTTGTTAAAAGTGTTGCAAGTATTAAAATTGATTGCGATTGCAATCAGATTAATTTCTGCATGTGAACACCGTTTTGTACTTTGTTTTATAATTTTTTAGAACGCAAAAAAAAACAAAATTGTATTCAAAGAGACTAACAATAATAGCTTTTATCTATTTTAATTGTGTTTTAACAAAACTAAAATTAAACATGTATTTTTTGAAAGCAATTTATCTTTGTAAGTCTGACCTCTGATTCAAGTGTAAATGAAGGTATTTTGAATAATTTGTGTTACTTTATCTTTCCTTTGTAGTAACTGAGCTTCCGACAGGTTGTTAGTGGGTTTATACTTTTTTTGTTGTAGTTTCATTTGAAACTGTAATCCTGGACATTTACATATTTTTTGTAGTTCATGTATAATCCGTTATTCGGTAAAAATGTTTTGAATTCCGTTTGGTTTTAAACGAATTTAATTAACTTCTGGTATCTCTCCTGTACTTATAGATATTAAATATTGAATATTGGTTAGTAATTAAAGTTTTCTTTACATAATAATGCATGTTGGGTTTAATAACTAACCTCCCTTGGGGATTACTGATCTGATCACGAATTGATTCATAAAATCAATCACATCAAAATAAAATATTTATGTAATTACTTGATATTATCTTCTTGTCATTTTCGGAATAAAATGAACAGAGTATTTTTAGATAAATCGACAAAAACAGACTTTTGCATTAATTAAAATTTTAAAGAGAAAGCTTTATAACATTAGACGATTGCAGTTTCTGTATAAACAGAGGAAAAAAAAGAACAAAACAAAAAATTGTATTATTAAAAGAACAACAGTTCATTTGGCGCATTCACCATATTGACCTTCATATTTTTAAAGAAAATTAAACAGCTTAACACTGCATAAACATTTTATGTTTAGTAAAAAATGCAAAGTAAATATTATTATTGAAGAATGTAAATAATATTTTCATTGTAGGTATTTATTTGAATTAAGAGTATTTGCATTTGGTAGATTGTAAAATAATAGTAATTATTATTTAAGTACCTATGCTTTTTTGTTAATTTTTAAGAGAAGTATTTCTTTTATTTCATCATTGAGTTGATGAAAATAAGAAATATTTCGTTGCTTGATTCTATATTGACTTTTGCATAGCTGTTGAAGGTAGATATATTTTTCTCGTGTTTACAGCAATTTCGGCATGCCTTGTTTACGGAACGGAAAAAAATTCGATTTGTTCCCGCGCGCTTCGTGAAGTTATTCTGGTTATCTAGTCGCAATTGAAATTATCACACCTTGACTTATTGTCGACCTGGAAAACCGGAAAAGGATGTGGATTTTCTTATGAAGCGATCACTATTGAGTACTGTAATAAATCCGATAACGCAATTCCGTCTCGTTTTGACGTGGCGCTTAATAATTACAACGTGTTAAATAAATTATATAAAATTGCGTAGCGAAATGAAGCGGAAATTTCCAATTACCGAGTCGTTCGAAATTTGAACAGCACACATTCGCGCCGTCGAATAAGCGATTTCGCGTTATCCAGGTTCAAAATCGATATTTATTCGTTCCGGTTCTCTCAATACACACGGCAAATAAACGACGGTCGGTTTCTTTTTCCACCAATGTCTGCTTCAAATGTTGCCTTACGTCGGGGCCATGCGAGTACCTATTTGAAGTGAAGATTTTGCCACAGGCTTTACACATATTGACAATTACTTACATGAGGGTTTTCCTTCGAATCCGTCAATGGAAACTTGCGAATCTAACGGCTCTTTGTAGACGAGAACGAATCGGCTTTCGTGCGTTTATCAGCACAACCAACTCGCCTGAGACATGATTGGACAAGGAAAACTTTCACGAATTCACGGATGGACCGCGGTAAAAGAAGAAAGAAAAAGTTAACAACGCTTTCGTGATGCCAAACACAATCTAACTATGAAAAAAATATCAGAAATTTACAACTAACGTCCAATTTAACACTATATTAACGATTTTTTATAATACTTGCTGAAATATTCTTATTTAGACTAATGGAAAATAAAACGCAAACGCAAGGTATGAACCGGGTGGTATATTTTTTACTTCTTTAACGTCTTCTTGAAGTAAAAGCGAATATTCATTTCTCAGGACATTAATCCATCAAGGCGAAATTAATACTCGCAGAATTTTTTGTGTAAATATTACAATAAAAATTCTTCAGTGATAATGTTAACAGCTACGCGTATTTACACCTAGTTTATTTAGGGGTTTTTAAATGAAATTTTTAAGAAAAATAATATTCAATGAGAGTGGTAGATTTGGTGGTAACAAAGTAAATCAATTTTATATGTATAACACAACTTCAATATTTGGCGTTCAATATATGATCAAACTTGAATTGAAACATAGGAAGGTAGTGCAAAGTATAATGTATTATAAGAAAAAAGTATGCTTACATATAATTTATAATTTAAATAAACTTTTAGTAAAATACTTATTTTTGTTTAATATGCTGTTGCATTTAGTATATTTTTATAAATCAACTTTGTTCAGTCTTTAATTTAAAAATTGCATTTCATTTACTCTTTACTGCATGTTAAAATGCAATTGTATCGTGTAGACAATAAATAAATATGTATTAGTTTACGTTTTATTTTTTATTAATCAAAATTATATTTTTTCTATACGCTCCCAAAACTAGCTTAAATGAGTCCCTAAAATGAGTCTTTTCCTGACTCAATAAAATAGTACAAAATGTTTATTTTAGGTACTCATTCCCTAAAAACAGTTTTCCCCGACGAAAGAGTCAATTGGGTAACTATGGTGGCGAAATTTTTGTAATTAATAAGAGGTGTAAACTCATTTTTTAAGAGCTTTAACAAAAAAATGTTGTTTATAACACATACCTAAAACGTTTTTTAGGACTCATGTGCTATTCCAAACTCGGCCTCCTCAGCAACGATTCGTCCGCAACAACTGTATTTTAGGCACTTGTAACAAAAGTAACTATAGTTTCTAACGTTTTTTGACATTTAATTTTTTTTTTTGACGTCAAAGAATTAAATTCATATAGCAGTAAAAACGGTGAAGAAATATAATTATATCGTCTTATAATAAAAAACTATTAAATTTTAAAACCATTAATTTATGTACTCGTATTATGATGTAATTTATTGTAATCAATTAATAATAATTAAAAATGCCATTTATTTATTTATGTTTTAATGAAGATGGGAATTCCGATTTTTTGTGTGGTAGGGTGTTAAAATTAATGTTCATTGCTATTTGCTGTTTATTTTTTTCTGAACCCGCCTCGTTATATTACTAGGAAACATACAAATGTTAATGCTAATTAGTAGTTTCGAAATACGTCCGTTTGTGTTAGTTTCGCAATATCGGTGTTCGGAAATGAGAGTTTCGGAATCGCAACAGCTTTAAAGCTTGTATAAGTATAGATTTCCGCAAGAGTCGAGATTCAAATCTGATGTCATTTAGTGGTTTCGTTCTTAAGGTTTTGTTGTCAGAAAAAGCGGCATTCTGGCATGCATAATTCCTCCTCCTGTAAGTGCTTATTCTCGCAACGTCGCCCGTTCGCAAGCTTAAATTCCTGCTGGCACAGGTGAAATTTACCCCAAGACGATTTGAACAAATATCTGTCAGGCGGCAAGTTATTATAGACCTAAAATACAATTCCACGCATTCTTAATAAGATGAAAATCGTTGTAGCGGCGGTCGTAATGAAAAACCGCGATACGCGCTTTATGTAAATGTGTGCGCTTTGTTGAGAGAAAGCCTCCTGAAATTTAGATGTCGTAAATACCGTCGGCACACTTTCATATTTTCATGGCGGCACGTTTGCGCTGCATCAGCAAGGTGAAAGCAGGTGTAGTGTAAGTACGCACTGAACGACCCCGGGTCGATATTTGCCGCTTACGATGGGAATTTTAATCGAACTGAACCAATTCCAATGACGGTGAAATTCATTATACGACGCGGTATTAATAAGCGCACTTTAATCATTTTTTCCGGGGTACTTACAGACGACGTTCAATTTGAACGAGTCTTCCTGGCTGAAGCCGGGCAGCTTCGGGTTGTCACCCAGACACTTGAGGAATGTGCCGTCGTCTTCGGGCTCTGGAGAGAACGTCACTGAGCTTATTACCACAGTCTCGTTGCCTTCCTCCACAAACTGCAAATTTTATTATTCTGTTTGAACATTTTATTGATGTATCTAATTATTTTTAAGTGAATTCATGAATTGTTTCTGGAATTATTTGAGTGGGCAGCTTATCTTTATAAAAAAATTAATTTGAGTGGTTTATAAAGTAACTAGAAATACGGTTTAAGAAATTTGTTTTAAATTTTTGTCAACCTAAATAGTGATCACTGATCAAAGTTAAATGAAAATATAAAAATATTAATTTTTCAGATTTATTACATGTTTGTTAAAACTGGTAATTTGTAATGAAACTTTAAATTTTATTTCCGATAAATAAAACATGTAAGCTACATGTATAACAGAATAATTGGCATTTGACTTCAAGTATTATTTTAATTTAGCTTCATGTAGATGGCTGTAATAGATATTTGTTACACTGCAGCCAATAAACACGTAAATACTGGTATTTATGTGTATGGTCACGTTAAGTCAATATTATTATCTAAAGATTACAAAAAACACTCTACTACAATTTATTAGTTTCTAAAGATTTGTCAAATGTAGTGTAGTAATTTTTGCAGAAAAAGTTTGTTTCTTTTTGCTAAATATTGCATTTAGACTGTTATCAGTTATCTTTTAGAATTTCTGTATGTTTTCTTTTTTTTAACGTTGAAATTAAATTATTCGAGCGTTTTTAATTAAGATAATATACATTTTTTGCAAATAATTTTGAAAACAAATCTTTTTCTCGAAGTAACTTAACGGTAACAATACAGGCTGCGCCAGAACTCGCGCCCCAGAGAAAAATCGCATATAAGGTAAGATACCAGGAACATGGAAAAAATGTTAAAAAAATTTTATCTATAAAAATTTCTAAGTTATGAGGGTTTAAAGTTTGCACTTTGACTCTATTTATTTCTGTTGGAAAAATAATTTTCCAAGTTTTTTTGCTATAGGCTATTAAACGAGGAAACAAGGAAGCTGTATCCTAAGTTGTAACTCTGTTCAATGTCATTTGTGGCTTTTAGTATCAAAATTTTTGTCCCTTTACTAAATAATTGTAAAAAAACATATACAAGATCATCAGTATCCTTAAATAGATATAAAAAATGTCAAATGTCAAAAAATAAATGTCAAAATTTTTAGACAGATAGAATTTTTTAAACATTTTTTTTATGTTTCTGGTATCTTACCTTACTTGAAAATTTTCTCTGGGGCGCGAGTTCTGGCGCACCCCCTGTATATGTGGATCTTTTACTGAACTGGTTAAACTATTTTGTAACAGAATAGTTTAATATGGGATTTAAAACTTTAGCAAGAAACGGATTTCGTATTAGAAAGAAATTTTTATGTAAAATTCAACCTTAAATTAAAAAAAGAAATAAAATAGAATACGTATCCCGGCGCATCCACCATTTTTACATCTCCAATATTTTTTGCAACATTAATACCTTATACTGTTTCTATGGTGCATTTTTTATGCTTACCTCATATCTTGCCTATAAAATACGCTTTATCTATGGAGTACGTCAATAGCATTATATCTTATGAGTCTATAAAATACGCTGATGCATATTTTTTGTCGATTTTCACATTATTTTGACATACGTTTTTATAATAATTTCTGAACTTATTAAAATTTCTGATTTAATATTAGTGTTGCAAGAAATCTTAAAGACAGCATGAGTTTTATAGTTTAAAAATCTTAGCCTATTAACTTCTCGCTCCCTCCGTTTGCCCGAATTTAAAGTACACCTCGATTTTTTAACTGTATAAAACTCTAGTTGTCTTAATAGCTATAAAGTTAACAGAAGTGTTTTTTACTGTCGTTTTTTTAATAAAAAAATATATTATTGCTTGTATTTAAGAAAAATCATTTATTTAAACGAGCAAGCTTAACAAGAACATTGTTTTCTACGAATACACTAATATAGGTATTATTTAATAAATATTTTTAGTCATTTGGGTTCTTTATTACGAACTTCAATTGGAAAATAAACCGCAAAAAATCTTGAACGGTTAAGGAGAGAATCGAAGTCGTTATTGTTTGAATAGTCATTTGAATTAAATTTTAACTATTATTATTATTGAGGCAACTAAATTTATGTTTGGTATTGACTATTAGGTATTATTATTTTTATTAGCTTAGTTTACGTAGTTTGAAGAAGTTTTGTTTTTTATGACTTAATTTGTGGGGTTTTCCAAGAGAAAAACATTGAGTTGTAGGTTAAATGTCAAACTGCTTCTTATGCAAGCATCAACAGACCTAGATGTTTGTAATTTTTTGTTGACTTTGGTAATTAAAGCACCCACCTTGCCCCTTCTGAAGTCTCGATTGTCTCTCGTCCAGGTCACCGTCGCCTTAGGCCTTGACCCCGTCACTTGGCATTGTATGGTGTAGTCCTGTCTGGCTACCATTTGCCGGGGTTTGTAAGGAATGACAACACTGAGAGGCCGCACTGCAAAGGGTCGGTTGTTTACTTACGGGGATCCAGGGCATGGGGCGTTTCTATTTAAACTTACGGAGAAGTTCTAGTCTTACAGTCTTCTCTGCGGGCATCATCAACTTTGTATTGCTGGCCTGGCACTTGTACGTGGAGTTGAGGTGCTCTCGTCGCACTGCCTTTACTGCTAGGCGGTTTACCATCAGCGTATCGCCGATGGCTTCCACCTCCCCCTCGACGAGACGCTCATTCATGAACCAGGACACCGTCGGGGTGGGCCGCCCTGAAACGATGATAATTTCAAGTGCAACAAATGTTTGCTGGCGAGAAATTAACTTGATTTTTAAAATGTTTGTGTTCGAGACTCGGGAGTTTTGATGGCTTGTTACAACCGATCGAGAGTCTACTTGGTGGAAATTAAGTTTGTTTTAGAAACAAAGAAAATATTGATTCGGAGAAGTTTACAAATTGATTCAATTTATAAACTTTTCAGAAACACAAATTTAAATTTCGAAACGACAGGAAAAGTGAATTTCAAAGCAAACCGAAGGTAATAGAACAGAAGAAAATTTTAAATTTTGTTAATTGAGTTGGCTGCTTTATTCAAACTTCGATAGAATGACAGATTTGTGTAGAATAAATTGTGCAGATTTAAAACATTTTGTTATTTAAAGCCACAATGCATTTCATCAATTTGCATACGCATACAATACTCAAATCCTTTGTAAAATAGATTGTGGCTTGTTTAATTTATTACTGAATGCCCTTTGTGTTTTTAACATTTTCAAAGTTGCGTTTTATTTCAGCTTTTAGCAATGAACTTAAACGTTCATGTTGTGACTGTAGTAATTATTGTGTCACATTTGTTTCATAAAATACCTCTTGTGTTGCACTGCTTATAGCACAAAGCACTACATTTGTCATTATTATAATGTCGTTTATAGAGAAGTTCAAGGTCTGTAACAATGCAATTCTCGTTGTAGTCAACTGTAAAGTGCCTAGACGGGACATAAAAGTTGTTTATTTTATTATTAAATACACGTTGTCACGACTCAAAACGACTTTTTTCTTGTCGACTCTGTGCAAGCAGTAATCCGGTCAATTCCGTGACAGTTGATCATTAGTTATCAGCTTGACCGGAGCTTCGCACTATAATAAACATGTCAGAGTGATAGAATAGAGTCCACTATTGTCACCGCGTGAACGCTTCTCGACATTCCCGGTTTCAATATCATTGCAAGATCTGCACTACTTTTAGTATAAAACGTCGGGATTTATGTATTAGAGGCGCATTTCTGAGGCCGGCGCTGAAATTGCAACCCTGCGCCTCCTTAATGCGTTTCAGATGATGGGATTCTGGAACAGCAGGCCTGGGAGACTCTAAGGGACCGACACTATCAGATAGAAATTGTCTTACTTCTTTTTCTTTTCGCTATTTTGAGAAAGTCTTTATGTCCCTGCTTTTTATGTAGATGTGTTGCGCGATTCGTTTCTAATCTTCGACGGATCGTTATAGAGATGTAACACAACCTCCAAGTGGCCTTTACAGCCCGGAAAAAGTATTAAAGAGTTTCTCGAGTTCACTCGACTTTTACCCTTTTCAAGAAGGGTAATGTTTTGAAAAATTAAGGTTTACCTCGATTGAGTTTGGCTTCTTAATTAGTTTTTTCAAATGTTTGAAACACAAAGCAAACTCAATAATAAATGTTTACTTGTTACAACGTTTTTACCAAGTTAATGATTTGGTGTTTGTGAAAAATGAGCTCAGGAATGTTAGCATTCAGCAGTTTTGCTTATTAATGGAAAAGTTTAAGTAGAAGCTTCGTTTAAAATTTCTCGAACAAATCCAGCATGACGGATTAAATAAAATAAATTTCAGAAGTGCTGAAATAAAGGGCAGCAAACTTTCTGGACGTCTTAAAAAAGCCATTTAGGTGTTTTTCGAGCAGACAACTTTTAACAAAGCTGAATATATTCTATTTTTGTTTGACTGAATTTTTTTTAATACCAGTTTTTGCTAAAGCTCGGATTCTAATCTTCTTCGCGTTTTAATAACCACCTTTTTTACGATCATTTTTTTTCAATATGGCCTAGTTACGTGTAATCTTTACCCTTTTTAATAAATAACGCATAAAATTTATTTATAGCTTATTGATATGAGAGGAGACAAACACACGAACATCGCACACTACGTGGAACTACTACTTGAAGCAGAAGTTGTCAGCAGGTTTGCTCTGCCCTTGTCACTGGTCGATACTGCTAAACACGCCAACTTCCAGGTGTGTGTTTGTGGCCTTGCGAGATTAGATATTTATCAAAAAGCGGCAGGAAGAGCAAGGATCTAATGAATTACTCGGTCGGAGCAGGATTAGAGTACAAATGTCGCCATTTCCGCTAATTACTCTAGGTACGCAATTTTTGTTAGTAATACCACTTAATCAAAGGCGATGGTCTAATATAAAACCAAAAAATGTTTCCATCAAAAATAGTGTGGCGTGTCGAAAGCGGAATCTGATTATGCTGTCACGGCTCATGCATCAATCAGAATAGTGGGGCAGAACTCTCAAGGATACAGTTTTACAACCGAACCAAAATGTTCTAGGTCGAGATCCACATTTTGCGACAAAATCCTGATTTATGCAGAAGATTAAGTGAATTAATCGCTTTAGTAGAGATTTAACTCACCGTTTGCCTATGCTTTTCTTAAAATATGGTCATTTGAAGCAGGATTTTAATAGATACATTTTTTGTTCACTGGATTTATATACAGGATGTTCCGTTTTTATTGTTACAAATTTAAACAGGTGATAGAATATTCAATTTTAAGATAAAAGTTTCCTATGAACATGTATCGAAAAATATTACATACGGGAGCTACATCCCCTGAAATGGGTGCATCTTTTAATGGATTTTTTCCAATATTTCAGAAACCATTGTAGATAAAATTACAAAATTTAGTACAACTGATAATCTTTATACACCCAAACGAATTCACAGGTAAAATGTCAAAAATTTTACTCAGGGGCGTCCTAAACTGGGGGGTTTAGGGTAAAAAGTATCCTAACTTTTATGGCTGTTGGTTCTTACCACTTTCAGCCACAAAATTTAAAATTCCATAGTTTTTCACGAAAAGAGGTCTCTTGGGTTTTTTCGATACAACTTACCCTTTTTGAATAAAATCAGTTTACAATTTGTCTTACAGACCATACAAAAGATAGAAATTAAAAATTAAATTTCTTTTACCGTTAAAGACGCCCGTGAGTAAAAATTTCTACAACTGATCTTTGAATTTGTTCAGGTGTTGAAAGGTTATCGGCTGTACCAACTTTTGTAATTTAATCTGTTCTGCAATAGTGGGAAATCTTCATTAAAAAACGCATCTCTTTTGGGGGTGTAGCTCGTTTACATAACATTTTTTGATACATGTTTATAGAAAACTTCTGTCTTAAAACTGAATATTTTATCACCTGTTTAAATTTGAAACAATAAAAATGGAACATCCTGTATACATTTCATTCTGCAAAAAATATTTTGAAAAGCTCATTTTAAAAGTCAAATAGGCTAAAAACATTTTAATTGTATGATTTATATCTAGTAATTTAGTTTTTTGTGTTTGTGTTATTTGTCGTACGATACGTGTAACGTTATTGCTAATTATCAAATTAAGTGTCAAACTAAAGAACTGTGTACTAAACTACAAGTATATTAATATTTCTTTTTACTTGGTAGTTTACTTTAGGCAATAGCTTTAATCTTTTATGACAAACAGCTATTTCTGTATTTTAATTTTTTGATTTTACTTTTGTAAAAACCGTAGGTCGATATATCAAATTCATTCAAACTTGTCATAACAACACAAATTTAATCACGAAATACCCTTATTGTTGCCTTATTTCAGTAATTTTTTCTATAATCAAAATATTATAATTTATAAATATATCTAAGTTGTCTGTTGCAATGTCTTGCTTCTATCTAAATTTAGACCTAAATTTAGATAAATTGCAATTTTGACCAAAAAACTTGCATAATTGAAAAACAAAACAAAATTTTGTTTTAATTTTTTATATTACTTTAATTTATAATAATTATTATTTTCTGGAGGCAAATAATTTAAAAAAAATCGCATGGTTCCATACTTTATATTCACCCTGTATATTTTTCTGTTGATATTTGTGGCAGTTATTACAATAACTTGACTTTTAACAATTAGGTTTATTTACGTGTATTCTTCTCTGAGTTCGTTAAACGTTTTTCCAATGCAAATAACTATTTTATAAGATATCGATTTTGTCTGCAGTTTGGTCTACTTTGCATGTGAAGTCTGCAATTTAAAATTAAAATTAAAAAATAATTTACGTTTCCTGAATGTGTCAAGTAGAAAATTGGCTGTTTTCAGCAGAAAATCCCTCGCCATTCGGTGTTGAACGAGGTCAAAAACCGCATCGTCAAAATCCGAAGGCAGCCATTACTTTGAGTTGTTATCCTCAGGTGTGCTCTTTCATCAAACATGCACAAGAGTAGATAAAGATGTGATAAGAAGGGCGCCGTTTCTCCGCCGTCTATTAGTTGTGCATAATAGATGGCCCTCTGCCGTGAAAGGTTGTCCATCGCGGTCAACGCAACTCAAATAATTAATGGCCATATAAAGGAAACTCTCGGTTACGGTCCCATCAGCTCGTAATGTCTCCGCCGGGACCGGTTCACCTCTTCGTTGATCTTCCTTGATATTTTTAATCGATCTTTGTCCAAAATTTAATTAATCCGCGTATCTTGTATGGGTGCGACATGAACTCCCATAAAATGGCGGGATGTCTCCGTAAGTTTTTTAATTACTTAATTAATTTAGCGGTACTGTGTTCAAGCGCCGAGCCGAACTTAAAGAAACGCTAATATAACGAAAGCAATATTTTACAAAATTATATGTACACCGTAAAGTTGAAATTACCTGAACGGCTGCTTCATATCTCTCCCGCTGTAATTAAAGAGATTTTGAGAAGCTTGCTTGCATTAATTAAAATCTGCCCGTTTTTACTCACGCTCCAGTATCATTAAAGCCTTATGCTTTCAAAGAAATCGAAGAAAATCGTTACCTCCTCGAACCTCGCAAGTTAGGACCAGATCAGAACCCTCCTCCAAGGGGCCCACGATGCCAGCGATGTCGCGGCCGGAGTTGTCGTACACCAACAGTTGGTGCGGAGGAACTGAAACATAACAAACCATTAGAAATTTTAAGTTGTAATTAAAAATTTTCTCTAAAGTTTTTGCTTCTGTGTTTTTGGATTTCTGGACAACACTTGGTTATTCCTATTATTAAAGAAGGTTATTAAAGAAATGACTACAAGTTCAGATTTATAGTAAAAACACTGTAGTATTTGTAAATATACTGTAAATAAATATTTGTACCATAAAAATGCTATCAAAGTGTTTTTACACCTTTTTCAGGTCAATGAATAAAGCACACTTCTCTGTGTTAACAAGTAAAGTAAAGGTGTGAGTATATCGTATTTCTGCTCTTGAATTTCAGATTTAGTTAATTTAACAACCGTAAACAAGTTCAGTTAACTGAGCAATACTTTGTGTTCAAAGGTGAGCATTACTATAACGTATAGAAACGTAACACTAGATTTAAAAATCTGAAAACAATTATCAGCGTTATAGTAACATTAAATTTGTTACATGTGTATTTAAACAAAATTTAGGAAGTTGAAAAAAACTGTTTCATTTGGAAAGAAGTAATAACCTTCTTTCAGATATTTTTTAAACCTTCTTCCTTTTTTCTAGATCTAGTTATCAAATTATAAAAACGAAATTTTATTGCTGTTTGCTGATTTCAGGAAAGAGTAATGCATTTTAATCTTCCGGTGAGGCGGGTGAGCAGTTCTAACTGCGGATAAATCCGCTGTTTGATGTCAAACACGCATTAGAATTTCGATAATAGTTTTCAATTGAAAATAGGTCATAAAAGCGCTTCCATTGTGGGCTTGTAATTGTAGTTTATCGCGTGTAGGACCCTATTCAATCCGCTATCAATCATGGTGATGCAGGATATTGAAATAATCTGCACCCACTGTACAACAATATTTTCACAGGGATGCATATCAGCAAACGCACATGTTTTAAAATTAATTCTAAATCGTTCCCTATTGTTTTCGGTTGACAGCCAAATTGAGTTGTTTTGGAAACAATTTGAACCTTTTATGTGATATTTTTTGATGTCATGACCTCATGTCCTACATCTATCATGTTTTGTAATGGAACGTAACTAACATTTTTACGTCTTGGAATCGGACGGTCAACACCAAAAGCTATAAAAGTACATCGTAAAACTTTGTGTAAGAATAATCGTCGCAGATTTGTAAAACAGAAAGTAAACCAGACAGAATATTATTTTATTGTGTTTCTGTTTTGAGCTTGACTAATTTCCAATACTGACGTTAAAACAATACGTTTGAAAATTGGGATTATCTGTCAGAATTTAAAACTATTACAATGTCTGTAATATCTGTAGTTGCTACTTTGTAAATTTTACTTTTTATATTGTGAGTTAAATCAAGCGGTTATAGAGTGCTTACCAAACCCAATTTACATTGTCGACCCTTTATACACAGAGGTTGCCAACATCATCTATTATTTAAACATTCAAGTCTCTGTCCGAGGTATTAGGCCAAGCGTGTGTAAATATGGTTAAAATCCTCTTATAAATAAAGAATTAACAGCTGTTTGAATAAGTGATTAAGTTTTTGGGCTAGGCTAGATAATGAGCGAAGAGTAACCTCATTAAAATTTTACACGCCGCTGCTGTAAGTTTTTGACGGTGTGGAGGAAGTCGTCGAAATAGTTCGTAAGGGAAAGTGACGCCCCAGTTGTTGAATTAAACATGCAAAACTAAATTGGATTGAAAATTATTAATTCAAGGCAATGTGGACCATCGGCAAGATGGGAATTTGTGGGTAATTAAGTGTAGTCGAAAATAACTTTCATACAGTTTCGCCGAGAAGCAGCAGGATTATCCTGAAGGTTTACAGGAATCTCTTCGAGTTAAACAACAATTACAAAAAATATTCGTGGAAACTGAACGATGGAAATGTTGGCATTAAATATCAATAATCCATAATGGGTTTCGACGATTTGCCAGGACGGATTTAAATTGAAAAAGTGCTCCTGGGCTATACTAATATTCCCGATGATCCAGAACTCTATCAGATAGCCGTGTTCATATTTGTCGGCGCTCGGGGAAAAATATATTATGCAACTTTTACCCTCAGATCGGAAAGTTTTTCAACTTCAACTCCACCGAGACGACAATTATTTTTTATTCATTATTTTGCTCTCTTTCGCAATCTTTTTGATAAACAAAAAGACCAAATCAGAAGTTGCAACCTCAGTCGAACATTTGCCTCACTCAAGGAATTATTGGCACCAAAACAATTTCTTCATGACTTCGCACCAGATATTAAATTTTTCTTACTTCGTGGAGCGGAAAGTTATCTTGTGCTTTATATTTTCTTGCAGGAAATGGCGTGAAATTTTTTTCCACATTGACCCACAGTTAAATCTAGCATTTTTTAGTATTTCTATCCAAACAATTTTGCTAGATTTTGCAAAGCCTCCACTAACATTTTTCTTTCGTTCCTCTTATTTAGTCGAGAGAAAAAAGAGATCCTTGCGGATTTTCGATTACTACCTTATTTTCTCTTTCAGATCGAAATAAAAGGTTTAAATTTTCGATCGACAGAAATGTAAATAATGTATCAAGTGCCGGGCTGAAGTAGCAGTGTCAAGAGTTCATCGCTAGACCAACAATTTCAATTAGTTCAGGAATATAAAATTTACCATGGAATTTCCTCCGAGAGTGGCTGGTTGTGTTTACACCGTAACGGTCCAAATCCCAACTAAATCCAACTTGGAGAATATAGGACAAGCGGGAGCGATGCGTTAAAATGTTCCAATTATTTCCTCGCTGGGGACCATAATGCCGGATTATTCAGCAATATGTTTACTTTTTAGGCTCTCGCACTCAGCCGGCACTAAATTTTTCAATGGGCTTAGCGGCAGATCCTCATAAACCAGACAAGAATTATGTGAATATTTTCGGGTTCGACAAGAGCCGCTGAAGCGACAAAATAATGTTTATTGGTTTTATTTTATTAATCTTTTTCTTCTCCAATCGTCGACTTGTAAAATTCGCCGAGTCGGAACTTTATTAATTCGAAGCAATTACAGCAAAACCGGCAATAAAAGCCGTCTTTAAAAATATTTTAAAGTTGGACATTAAACCAGCGAATCGTAGCCAAACTTCCTGTAAGCGTTATCGCGCGAAAAGGAAAAAGCTCCGAATCCATGCAGTCGTTGCATTCATTGCTGATAAAAACGCATTAAGAGTTCTTGCGGCTCCGCTCACGTCCAGACACACCCTCACTTTTCAGCTTAATAAAGTCGTTAGAATTCTTTGGTGCCACTATAAAGTATTTCGCAACAATCCGAAAGCGCGAAACCTGAAGCGGAATTTCATTATGATCCGACTCGACTGTAATTATAATTTAATCATTTTATACATTTTCAACAGATGGCAAGACAGTTCACTTTCTTTCCCCGGTTATAATACACTTGGCGTATTCTCTTCTAGCAAAAAATTCAATTTGAAACTTTGCGTTACATTGTAATTGCTTCGTTAATTTCGCTCCAAATTTGAATGTTTTGTTAGAGAGGACTTAAAAACACGACTCGTTCTGCCAACTTTGGACTAACTCCGAGGACAAAGAGTGATTCCGAGGCTCATTAATTAACGACAATTTTTCCAAAAAATACTCGTTTCTTTTCAGAGTCTAAGCTGTTTTTAGGTAAGCTGAAAATGACACACAGGCGTATGAAGATGAAAGCAAAGGAGCTTAGCTTTATCAAATCAACCATATTTTGCTTTTTTCGAAAAACTTGTGTTGCATGAAAGAATAACCTCAATTTTTTCCGAAAATGTTGAATAAAAAAAATATATTAACAATTTTTTTAAAATTTTGGGTAAACTATTCTGTGCATAATATCTTTATAAAGCAGAAATAAACGGCAAGACAAATAAATTCATTTGTTTGGAAAGCTAAAATCTTCATTTTCCTGAAGGTAATAAACATTTTATGTCGAAAATTAGACGTTATGATGCTTTTATTCTCCTTATCCGATTTTTAATTAGGGAGCTTCGACCCAGCTTACCTTTGAAGCTGTGAGCGTAATATCTTGTCGTAATTGTAGTTGGATGGGTGGGCTCCGGCCACTTCATTTCCTGGAGTGAAGCGTTAAGCTTCAGTCCACAATTTCCGTCTCGGTTGGTCGGTTAAGATATCCGCCAGCTTTGATGTATACCTGATCCTTTAAGTACACGGTTTTTAACTCAATTATTGCATTCTCGCTTTGGGAATTTCCCTAATCGTCTCGAATATTCTGGTGTCCCTTGGCCAACCAAATGAAACTAATTTGGGTCGTCATTTTCCGAAATCGCGTTCTATTATTATTACCTATTTCTCAGAGAAGCGGCGTTTTTTGTACAGACATGTGTCCCATCTTTTGAGAGACAAGCCGAAATCGTTTTTCGACAGGATGAAGAGGTACTCACCAATGACCGTAAGATTGATGGCGAAATTCCTGGTCGGCGTTGTGCGAAAATCTACTCGACATCGGTAGATGCCTTCGTCGTTCAGAGTCACTCCGTCGAGGGTGAGAGCGGCGGGCTTTGAGACCGTCACGAAGTAAGCTCGGGGGCCGAACACCATGGGGTCCGACCAGTGGATCGCTTTGTTGAAAGGTCGACCTCGAACGTCGAAACTGGAACAACATCAACATCTCAAATTCTGTGGAAAATGCGCTTCCGAATTATCGGACGAGAACACCAACTGCTCAAAAACTTTCCCGACTGTACATACATATAGAACATGATGAAACTTTACATTAAACAGTCGGTAACATGCCTCAGATGATTTATATGCGTATAAGCCCCATGAAATGCGCCAAGATGTTTACATATGTTGTAGATTAAAACGCAATAACTTGCACAGAAAATAATTAAACAATTATTCAATTTTTTCCACGTCCTAATATAATACTGAAGGTTTTAAAAATATATTTTGATTATCTTGTTGGTTTGAAGAAAATATTCTAACATGGATAAATAACAAATCCTAAATTGCTTTTGCAGACAAATCGTCTATATCGGATAAATTTCATAGAATATGTTTTACTGCAATGCATTAACAAAATTCTGTTTGATTATCGGTTCAGTAATCAACAAAAAATTTGTTGAGCTTTGCTTTACTATTGAGTGTGCATAACTTTTGTTTCATTAATTAGTGGATTGAAGTTTGCTTGTTTGCTTATTTTGAAAGTGCCGATTTGTTTAGTGATGCATTTGGATAAATTAGCATTGTTGATTAGGTTTTCTGAATAGCTAGCGACAAATGCTGCAGTAATAAAGATAACAAATGATTTACTATTTGCTTTATTTTGCAAGATGATAACCAGTTGACGTCTGAAATTACCGGCTAGCTTTGCAAACACTGTAAATTAATTATTATCAAGTTTTGTGACACAAACAAATTCCCAATGGTTTTTGTTAACAAATTTTTTTTGTTTTTATTTTAAGTTTTAATTGTTATACAGATAGTTTAAACTCCTAGTAAAAGTTGTCGTAAAAGCTACATTTCAGAAGTTTCACTAAAACACAAAGATTTATTGCTTCCTACGAAAACAATAGAATAATTCAGCTTCATTACATATTCTAGGTTCTAGGTACAGTTTTACTGCGTACATTTATCAATATATGCTGGGTAATTTAACTAAGCTGATTAAATCTGCTATAAAAAATATTTAAGTAAAATAAAGTAAATTTAAGTTACTCTACATTTCCATTATTTGATAGAAAAGTTTAAATGTATAACAAAACAAGAAATATACAAGAGCTGATTTCATTACAACAATAATTTGAAAAAAGCGGAATTGTTGCAAAACTTTGTAAAACGTTTAAAATTAAATCATATACATAATTTATCTATGCTCTAAAAGACTTTTGTTTAAATCTAGTGTTTATTTCTTGTTCACTAATATTAATATTATTGTCATAGTCATATAATACGACTCACTAGACAAAAAGATTTTAATTATGCAATAACTTTATTCCTTTTCCTCATTGTTTTAATAATACCCGTAATTTTTGTGTATTGGCGCAGTAATAATATTTGGGAAAAATTAATGGTTCCAAATGTTTTACATGCACTCTGTTGTCAGGTATCAAATAAAATATCCACATTGTTGACTCGGACATAGACATCTCTCACAAAAAAGGAAAAAAGCATGGAAGGTATTTTCAAAGCTTATTGCTTGTTTATTTTAACATACAAGAACTTATTAAAACTTATTAGAAATGCTAATTTGGTTTTAATCAATTTTTACTTATTGTTTTGTCAGTACATAAACTTATATACTTACATATTTTTAATGTATGGCCTTTAACTGATAAAAGGCAATGCTTTTACTATTAAAGGGTATTACAAAATCAATCATCATTTGTTTTTTCTGTTCCAAGCAGGTCATTTGTGTGACACAGTAATAAAGTTGTAACTAATGTTAATGTAAAAACTTATCTAATCTAACTGACCCTAAACATTCCGTTATAAGTGTACTTCTCATTTAAATATTAACTTATTTATTGCGTAAGATTCTATAAATTTAGTTACGATGCGTTAATAGTAGTATTTCGGATGGTATTCAAAAACACACAATTACGTGAGGTAACTGTATTTTCGCTACACTTTTTTAAGAATGCAATTGTAAAATTTTTGTTTGATTAGAACATCAAAAAAGTCTAATTAGACCCTAGAGGATAAATGGTTTCCGCGTTGTAATTAAGACGTATTGTTGAATATTCAGTTGTCCGTCCACCTTTTGATGTCTAATATTTTGTGCGAGTTTCATTAAAGAAATCCGCTTTTTCCCCGCGCTCTTCTAGATTAAAAAGTCCCTGTAAGACGCATAAGTCCCTGCTTAGAAGCCGTTATCCTTAGTCTAGCAGTGGGGCTGACGGCCCCAGAGACCACTTGACGGCGCAGCTAATGATAACGCTTCGGTGTGCAAATGAACGTCGAAATGGGACAAACTTTGAGCACCAGAATCCGCCTTGTCCCAGGTCCCTCTCGGCTCGAGATTAATGGAGAAATTCCAACAGAGGTGAGCTCATTTCCTGTGCAATCTCCTTTGGAAAATTAATGCGACGAAAGACTTTAATAACAAATTCATAAAATATACACTAGCACCTTATTAAATAAAGAGGCGTTCTTCGCTTAGCACACTTAACGCGCCGCACCACCATTCACAAATCAACACCGAGGATCATTACGGCTTTCAAACACCTGATACCTCTAATTTATTTCGAGAAGAGTCTCTGGGAAATTGCCAAGGACGTGGAGTAGCGCAAATCGTGCTTTATCCCTAAAGCTAATTTTTAACAACGAGTCGGAGATGGGAGCACTGCATTCTGCACTAGACTAGGTCACGAATAGCGAGAAAGTCGATAAAAATTCAATAAAAATTCTTCCACACAAACTTGTAAAACTTTCAAAATATTGACTCGGATTAAATTAAACGAAGGTTGAAATGGCCAAGTACAAAAGCATCTCTAAAAGTTTTAAAACATATGTTAATCCAAGCTTTCAAAATTAAGTACTTACCGAAGAGCTTTAGCAATTTATATTACTTTTATATTTAGTTGTATTTTGTTACTATTTTTTTTATGTTTTGAAAAATCTAAACATGAAACATGTATGTGAAAATAAAGCAAAAGTTTTTAACTTGTTTTTTAACTAATATTGTTAACTGAAGTAAGCAGTTTTCTCTAGTTTCGTTTTGCACAATCGGGAAGCGAATTCGAAACGACCTTGTTCTTATATGCGCAATGATTATTTTTTTCTTTTATAAAAATAGCATTTGATAACTGTATGTACTATTGAAACGAACAGTTTTGAAGTTCGTTGTTGCTTTATTTGACAAAAGCTTTGAAAGGGTCGAGTACACAAATTGACACACAAATTTTCCTTTTTGGTGGCAAGTAGAGGTTTGCTTGACGATATAAATAGTTGAAGTGTCAACATTGGAACAAGATGGTGTGAATAATTTATTAGAAAATAATATTCCTTTAGTTTACTTAGGACTAGACTAGAATGCTTGTCCTTTAATTGTTTTATAAATTACCTTACGTTGCTACATAATTGCAGAGACAATGTCAAGGAGCGAAAGAAAAATACTTTATGTGTGTCTCTGTGTCTTTCAGTGGTATTTGAGGGTGCGTTCACGAATAATACCGGAATTAGTGAATTCCCTTTGTTTCTCCGACTCAATTGAATAGTAAAACAGTCGAAATTTTGGCCTGTCTCGCCTTTGGATTTTTGGGTTGGAATGTGTGTAGAGGTGGAAGACAATTAGTTTTCGGTTCCTTTGTGCTCGGGGTATCGGTCGTGTTCCTGCCATTACTTTGCATGTAATGTATGGCATTTAGGAGCAAATATCCGAGATAATTCCCGCCACTTCACGGACGACTGGTCGGTTGTAAAAGGAGTATTTGCACGTAGAGGCAGTTTAGACGGTGATATCTGGTCTCAAGTGCTGTGTCTGGCTAGCGCGGGGAAGTTACGTGACGAGGCGAGATACAGGTGAGGCGTTGCAACTTTGTGCCCTCGATGTGTCCCTCGAGGACCCTCGTTCCGAAATATTTGCAGAAGATTTCCTTCAATATTAATGCGCTAACCACGCCCGTTTTAACTTTCATGCTCAATTGTTATTTAAAAGTTGAGATAAGAGACGCTCTGGATGCACTCACCAAGACGAGTCTCCGTAAAATGTGCCATTAAACGATTCATTAAGACTATTCAACGCCGAATTCTACCTAATGAACGTTTTAAGACCAATATTCCAGTTTATGGGAGTTAGAGGTTTATGTATTTCTCGAATAAACTATATAAAAGGCATGCTGTGCCCAAGTGCCTCGTTATTAAAAGTATATCGAGACGAAATCAAAAACCGACTATATCTCTTTTAATATTGCGCAGCAAATTAAATCCGACTGTGCACCTAGTGAAAAATCCGGATTTAAATCGAGTGTTAATAGAATAGCCGCATTTATTTATATGAACTCTAAAAAGTTATTCTGTTTTAAATTGCTTCACTATAAAGTTTCGTAAGGCAATTGCAGTTAAGACTCTCATAGCATAAAAATATTTTTTATTTTATAATTGTTTTATATATACTTCAACACAATAAAATTCAACTCCACTCACGTGAATATACATCAAGTGTTCGCCGGTTTGAATTTAAAAGATATATTTTTGCAGCAGTAGATTTCACGTTTTCAAATTTTTCTGTTCCTAACGATTTGTTTTTATTTGAATTTGGGCGACAAAATTAAAGATTCTCGCCTGAAATTGATACATTTCGAAATATGTTAAGAGATGAAGTCGGTTCAGATGTGATCAAATTCGCGAGAAATGTTCAAATTCTTGCACAGCCGGCAAATCGAAGATTCCTCGATAACAATTTTCGATCGCTATTTTAATAAATCTGTGGTGTTTTTGGGGTGGAAGTTATTGCTGGGCAACTTCTTCGTGCGTCTCTCTCAACGAACAAATTATCAGCTCTAATGCCGCAGAATAATGATCGTTTATCAGAATTATAAAGTAGGACAAATGGAATAATAGCGGTTATCCAAGTTGGGTACAGCTGCGGACGGAATTCAGATAGAGGCAGGTTTCACGAACGGCGTAATCTAAAATTAACCATTCTTG